TTATTAGGGAGTCTTACAAATTCTCCTCCTCACAAGAACTTTCATTCCGGAAAGTTCGCTATTCCTACCTTGCCTTGGTGTAATTATCCTTAGCTATGTCCTTCCAAGTTTCTTGAGGGTCCATTTATAGGTTCGTCCTTCTCCGGCATGTCTTTATAAACCTTAATAAGGACCCTTAACCTTAACCTTTCTTGGTCTTCTTTCGGACCCTTGACCTTCCTTGGTCTTCTTTCGGACCCTTAACCTTCTTTGGGTCTTAATCCTTTCCTTGGATCCCTTAAATCTTGACCAACTTAAACTTATTAGGGGTCTTACAAATTCTCCTCCTCTCAAGAACTTTCGTTCCGGAAAGTTCGCCATTCTTACCTTGCCTTGGTGTAATTGTCCTTAGTTATGTCCTTCCAAGTTTCTTTAGGGTCCCTTTATAGGTTTGGTTGGTCCTTCTCCAGCATGAACTTATAAACCACAATCTCTTCTTTCGGTCCTTTATTCTTTTTTGGGTTTTAATCCTTTCCTTGGATCCCTTAAACCGTGACCAACTTAAACTTACTACAGAGTATTACAAACTCTCCTCCTCTCAAGAACTTTCGTTCTTGAAAGTTCGCTATTCTTACCTTGCCTTGTTGTAATTGTTCCTAGTTATGTCCTTCCAAGTTTCTTGAGGGTCCCTTTATAGGTTGGTCCTTCTCCGGCATGTCCTTATAAACCTTCATCTCTTCTATCGGCCCCTTAACCTTCCTTGGGTCTTAATCCTTTCCTTGGATCTTAAACCTCGAGGAACTTAAACTTACTAGGGAGGCTAACAAATTCTCCTCCTCTAAATATCTTTCAATCTGGAAAGTTAGATATTCTTTCATTGTCTTGGTTTAATTTTCCTTAGTTATGTTCTTCCAAGTTTCTTGAGGATCCTTTTATAGGTTGGTCCTTCTCCGACATGTCCTTATAAACCTTAATCTCTTCTTTTATCCCTTCAACCTTAATCCTTTGTAGGTTCCTTTTGTTCCTTCTTGCATCATACCTTTATGATAAAGAAGTTCTTCTTTATGTGCATAATACCTAATGTTAATTTTTCATTTAATTCATCATGGAAACCCATCGACGAATCTAAGAAGTGCCTTAGTCCCATCATCTTAAGGATTCCTCCAATTTACAAATCTTTACATCCCATTTTTCTCACTTAACCTAAAGTAAACCTCCTAACTTAGTTGCTCAATCAATATTTCCAATTGAAAGAGAACCACAAGAACTCTTTAGCAATAAAGGAATTCACTAACTACCTAAAACACTCGTAAAACAGAAAATGTAATTTAATCGTTTACTCTTGAACCAAAAACTTGGATATTAGCAGAACACAAGGAACATCAAAAAGAAAAGGCAAAGATAAAATAAATATTAAATATAGGAATAGGAAGCTTATTAAGACCACAACATTGCCGATAACGTAATTCTCGTGAGATCTAGTCTACGCATAAGGTAGTTTATGATGTCAAATAGAAAATTTCTTACCAGGAATGTTGAAAGTAGCAACCGGAGTTGTATTCCTTGACCTCAACTTTGTTATCTCCATCTATGTCCTCAATTTCCATCTGAAATTTTCACAACATAGTTATTAATCAAAATCTTCTCCATTAGCAAAGGAAATATGAGCAATAATTACAGATAATTTGAAACCATTAGAAGGGAACATTAACTATTTTTGTTAATGTTTGACCAGAAATAAAAGGATAAAAGTTTTGTAAAAGCAATGGCTTACCTTAGTGTGTTGTGTGGTTATATGTATTGTTTACAACAAGCTTTACATGAACCGGACCGTCCTGTATGAGTAATGAAAAAAATAATTATGCATTGATCTTCAATTCAGACAAATCATTAAGTTGAACAAAGAAAGTACCTTTGACTTCAATCACTTTGTCCTGGACGCAAATGAGTCTCAAAAATTGACCTGGGCACTAGTATATCTCTCATATCGTTCATCATCATGACCTAGAGGAATGTTCATAAGAGCAAATTCAAAACCCGAAAGCTCATTCTCAAAAACTTTAGTGATTGAAAAGCAAAATGATTCAACCTAACAAATTTCATCAATCATAAATATGAATCTATATAACAACAAGTTAACCTCAGCCTCAGTCTCAACTGTGTTGGCTAGCTTTGAAACAGCCACTCAACTAAACTATGAGGGCCTTACGACTAATGATGCAAAAATTGAAGTAAAACCCTTCATTTATGTTGAAATCACATGCAAATAAAAAATTAAAAGTGCCTCAAATCATCCCCAACAGGAAAAAGCCATATATCCTCATACGGGCACTAAATACAATAGAAGGCAACTGTTTTTCCATAAATTCTGGCTAAGTTCTATAAGAAGCATTGTCTAAATTGGCTCGACAGAGAGCATGGTAACTGTGCCGATAAGATTCTATATTCTTTAATATAGTTTATTTCATTGCAACCCAAGCTAGCAACAATTACATTTTGGAATTTTCTTAAATGCTGCACGCTATGGCCTCAAAAAATATGGTGTGAAGAACTTATGGAAGATAAAAGGACAGTAATTCCATGGTTCTTCATTGAGCAAGGGAGGGATCTGCAGAACTTGTTCCTTAAAGAAAAACGACTTTCACAATATTAGGCTTTTTTATTCATCATTTACTTTCAGTACATCTTTTTTCAAGAGTTGTAAAACCGAAGATCAATAAAGCAGCTAAAGCTATAATTCACAGCTTCACAGCCAACAAATAATAAAAATAAAACTTAAATTCAACTTCACATCCTTGGGCTTGGAATCATACCAGTATTCCTAGGATATGCGAAAATCCCACCGGCCTCCATGACAGGACCAACTGCTTTTCTTTTGCCCAAGTAATCGCTTCATAAAGAGAAACTGCTTTGTTCTTCCCCTCCTGTTATCGTAACCAATCGCAATGAAATAAGAGTTCCTCGTCCTCCTCTCTTCTGCCAACACATAAATTTGAATATCAGATTTGCCCCCACACAGAGAAGAGATAGAAGATGACGGGGAATGAAACAAAGAGTCCAAGACAATAATCACGTTACCATGGGAACGAACAATGAACCTACTAAAAACGCCCTAATCCTCCGTAATCGAAACCACGAAAAGTTTCAATAAACCCCGAAACCCTAATAGCCGGCTGTGCCCTTAAAATTTCAAATCCAGAACAGATTAGGTTGAAATTAAGTTGCATTACCTTGATTTTTCATCATCAAGAGGAGGCGAGAAACTTCTTTCGATTCTGCTCTCTCTTCCTCCGATTGCTTGGTAATTATCTAGCGTTTGATTTCGGCAACGAACGTTCAAAAGGGAAGAGGTCGTTGATGGAGCGTTCCGATTCGAGTGTGAGAATGTGCTGAAGAAGAGAGTGTGAGTGAGGGAGGGTAAGATATATATATGATCCGTGTGAAATCCGCATGAGCCGATACAGCTGGCGATGGGGTCAACGGCTCTGAAGACCGTTTGGCTCTGAACGTGGAAAACCGTCGACGATAAAAACGGCTACGTAATTTAATCGATTCACGTTTTCTTCCGTAGTTTTAGGGATTTTTCGGATTTTTCTTTTGACCAATATTTTGTTTAGTTTAAACATGGAAATAAATCTTGTACAACAAGTATTGTTTTTTTTTTTTTTTTCTTTTTCGTTAACAAATTTTGTTCGGATCAATTCAGAGGTTTTGTCCAATTAACCAAAAACTCAACTAAATCTATTCGAGTTCTGAAAATTAACCCGACCCAATTCAACCTGTATAATTTGGGTTGGTTAGTTTGGGTTGAAATACCCTCTTAATGCTCAATATTTAAATATTGTTAAAATGAATTTTTTCAAAACAAATATAGATAAATATTTTAAATGGCAATTTGTTTATATATATATATAATTACAAATATATAATAAGAAAAACAAATTTGTAATTTTATTATATGCTTTAATATCTTTTTCATAAAAATTATAATTTATTTGTAAACAAATTATAAAAGAGTCATCCATATAAAAATAAATAAATAATAAATAAATTGCTTGAATTGGGAGGGACCCCGTATAAATTTATTTATATTTAGACAAATGACATCACAGGCATGGATTTACTGTATTCTCAAGTATAGGTACATGGACGAGAAAGTTGGAAGAGATTTATTTTGATACCTAAACGGAATTGAAAATTGTTGATTATATTTTGTCCCTACTCTCTTACGATCTGTTATATAGTTATGTTATACTATAGGATTTTTCATGTCCTCAAAGATGAAGTCTACGTTGCCGTTCTCATTCATTAAGGTGGTCTTGTGAGATCTAACGTTGGTTGGAGAGTGAATTAAAACATTATTTACAAGGGTGTGAAAACATATCCCTAACCGATGCATTTTAAAACTGTGAGGCTGACTGTGATACGTAACGGGCCAAAGCGAACAATATCCACTAGCGGTGGGCTTAAATTGTTACAAATGGTATTAGAGTCAAACAATATGTGATGTGCTAGCAAGGACGCAAGCCCCCAAAGGAGATGGATTGTAAGAGGAACGAAACATTACTTGTAAGAGTGTGAAATCTCTCCTTAACTAACACGTTATAAAAATGTAAAGTTGACGAAAATGCGTAATAGATGGACTTGAATTGTTATAGACCCGATTAATACTTAAAAAGATTTATATGGGTGAAACCAAACAATTTCAACTATTGAACAAATATTTAGCTTTCCCATTTGCAAAAATCTAATCTTTGTCAAAATTATTTCATGATCAAGCTTTTGGATTGAGTAAACTTCATGCATTTAGATAATTAATCTCTGAGAGTGTAATATGTTAATTTAATTTTTTTTTAAAAGTAATTGTTTTTTCATTTTTTTTATAAACTGTCACTAATAACGAGACATTCTCTCTTCGATTCCTCGTCTTTGTCTACGCAATGTTTTATGCTCTAAAACCAAAACAGACATTCACACAGACTCCCAAAAGAAACGAAAAGGTTTTGAGCAGACAACACGAATGGCTTAAGAACTTTAGAACAATTACCAACTATATTTGTAAAGATGGCAGAAACACAGAAAAAGATAACAAAGAAAGAAACTTTCATTTGTTCTTACTGAATTCAAGCTTGAGATATCAAATCTTCTTCCTTCTTCCTCGGAGTTGCGTTTGCCCAGTTTGGTGAATGCTTGAATAGCCATTTCAATGCTTTCAAGCTTTTCCTCCCCTTCTTTATCCCTCTGTCACTAACTGTTATCCTGCAGGAGCCTCCGCCGCCATTGGACAGCCCTCTGCTGCATTCATGCGCCGCCGCTGCCGCCGTGTCAAAACCTCTCGTGCTTCTAAATGAAGAGTTGGGGTTTGAGAGAGCGCCCAAACCCAATCCTCCTCCGGCTCCGATGCCTGTTTTGGGAACAGAGTACTCTGGCTTTGTTTCTGAGGTGAAATCCAGCTTGAAATCTATGAACCCAGATTCGTCCGTTCCATTAAAATCGCTCTCTTTTAGAGAGAAAACACGCCTGTTTGCTAAACTAAACCCATTATGATCGCTTTCGTAATTCCCACATTCTCTGTGATCACTCTCAAAACCACTTTTTCTTGGCTCTGTTTCGCTGAATCCACTTCTTCTAGCGGAATCACAGACGAGTCCTCCATTGACACTCGAAGTTCTAGCACCAGAAATCGAGCTCCGGCCACCGGAAACCACCATGTCTCCGCCGTCCTCCGACCCGAGAAACCCACCACCACGAAAACTACAGAGAGATCTAGACCTGGACACACCCATGTAATCAACCATACAAATATCACTCTTTTCATCAAACCCAGATCCCTTCTCCCTCTTCTTCCTGAAAAATTTCCCGATCCTCCAAAACCCACTTTTCTTAATCTCCACACAGCTACTACTGCTTCTCTCTAGCAGCACAACCTCCTCCCTTTTCTTAATCTTGGGCTTCATCAAACCCAACAAAGAAACGCCATTTCTCTCATTCTCTATCAAAAACGAAACTCTCCCAACACTTCCTACTTCCAACGTACAAGAATTTCGATTAGATGAGATTTCAGAGCAGGAGCAAGAGGAGAGCCTCTGCTCGCCACAATCAGAACAAACCAGTTTGATCAACCGATCTTTCAAGCAATCAGCACATACTCCAACAGAGGAAGAGGAAATGTGTTTCTTACAGAGGAATTCAGAAGCAATTGAATAGAAGTCCATGTCGTTGCTGTAAACTTCCAGAGCCTTTCCTCTGTCTCCCATGGCAGCTGCTTCCTTGATGGGCTGATAGATAGTCAAAGGAGAAGAGACAAGAAAATTAGGCCAAATCAACTGGGATTCATGAAAAAAGAGAAACTGGGTTGAAAGCTTCACAAGCATAAAAGGTAAACAGAGACAGATTGCAAAAGTTTTGACTTTGGGAGCACAAGAAATGTAAAACTTTCTAGTCTAGAGCGAGGGAGACGTAAAAATTACGATTTGTAGGCACATGAAAGTGAAGGGAAAAGAAAAGTGACGAAAAGGAAGCACTATTCTGTGCAGCCCATTATTGCTTTTCTGCAGGGGAAGTGAATGGCTTCGAAGAAGAAGAAGAAGAAGAAGAAGAAGAAGAAGGTGGTGGTGGTGGTGGTGGTGTTTTCTTCTGGGGGTCCTCTACTCTGCTGCAGGGTCCAGTGTTTCATCCTGCGCCCGAGATCTAGTGGGAACAAAGTCTTCAAATCGTACGGCAAAAGAATCATCAATCATTCGGGCTGGGCGTGTCTCCAGTCTCGCTCTGCTCTTGATGCCCCGAGCTGTTCCATCGCCATCAAAGCTTGCGTGTTGGACAACCTTCCACGTGAAAAAATTAAAAGCAAAGTGGAATTGTTAGTGAAATCAGAGATGTTTTTAAGGTTCTATTATGGTTACCTCTTTCAGTGTTGATTAATTACAACAATGTCAGAAGTGGGTACGTTAGAAGTGTCACAATCGATATAAAAAATGCAAAATTTTACTATAAAGAGACGATATCTACTCGACTTCTACCAATAAAAGAAGCTATACTTTTACCATTTAAATAAAATTCTTACTTTTGTATTTAAAATTAAATATAGAAACATTCTTCTGGGAGAGGAGCAAAGATCAAAACCAATGAATTCACATATTTATTGAAAACTCACGAGTTGAAAAATAGTTAACTTGAGATAAACCAGAACAAGTATAAAAAAAATCAAAATTTTAAATTTTTATAAAAATAATAAATAAAAAAAAAAACTAAAGAAAAAATGGGAAAATGTAAAGAATTGGGAGTGGAGTGTGGAAAGGGAAGGAGAAGGAGGTCTTTTTTCCAACACACAATCATTACATTTCGAGACATGGTCCCACACGTTGTCATCCTTACTAGATTTTCGCCACGTGTCTCAAATCTATTCCCATCATACTCGATTCAATCCAACGGTGCTCATCATGTGGGTCCACTCTTTAAAATTCTATTGCCCCCAAGTAGGTCCCACTCCCTTCCTTCACATGCCATGCATGATCACATTCGATATTCTCCCTGCCGTTACCCCCTCCCCCCCAATACTACATATTAAACCCTCAAATTTATAGTAACATTAATTTAGATTTCACAATATTTTTCAGTATTAAAAGACCCTGAATCTAAATCAGACTATACTTGAACAATTATGACAAGAACAAAAATTATTATTACATCATAATAATACAAATAAAACTCTACCTAATACAATCCTTTAAATTTTAGGATTTTAAATTTTTAATAAACAAAAAATGGGTAGTCCAGTTTCATACAATACTTGCAGAAAAAAAAAAAAAAGAATAATTTCATAAGCCTTTTTAAAATTAATAAATGAAAGATCAGCCCCACAAATAATATTAAATTTTTTTCACAAAGCCACTTGTAGGACCTCAAATATTTCTCTTCCCACATAAAATATAGTATTCATTAACGAAAAATAGCATCATACAACATACTCCCAAGGATGGTACTTTAGAGCATAGGAAAAGGCAGAAGATTAAGGATCATAATAGTAAAAGTCGCACGCACCATACACGCGCGAGCATTTTACATTATTGGAATGCACAAAACAAATTGTTTGACAAAACATTAGTTTAATATATATATATTTTTTTTTAAAAAAAAGGCAACTTCGACTTAAGTTGATATATAGTTGGCATTTGGTAATGATGATGTCCCTATGGACTTCCCTTAATTAATAATTTTGCTATTGTTTATGTAACTCATAAGCTTTAACCAAGGAGTTGATGGGATTGTCACTTTCAATATTTATGCATGATTATGAACATATCGTGTCTTGATAAAACAACAAAGATTGTCTTACTTTTTTATTTAATTTGAATGTTCTCATGATTAAGTTTAAATTACATGCTCTAAGAAATGTACCTTTGCTGTCCGACGTGCTCTATTTCCATTGGATGATGCTTCCCAAGTCTATGTGATCATAGATCAAATGGCTGAATCGCATTTTATTCATTTACTCAGAATTGAGCGATTCGATTTGGACGTTTCAAATCCTACACAATAATAAGTACAGATAGATAACAACATACTTAGCTGTTTAATATGATCACAAGAAGAAAACTCAGACTTCTCTAAGATTCGATGTACAAATCTACATAGAGGAGATGGATATGGTTGATTGATACCTTATTTCATGTGAGAGAGAAAACAAAGCCACAAGCTATCAAATTGTTTGATTTTCAATAGCTCAAGATCATACCAAGCCAGGATTCCACCAAGGAGTACTTCAATGGGCACAGCTGAGAAGAAAACAATGCCAGTGTTAAATAACCACGAAACTGGGAAGATATATAGTAAGGAAGAATATTGGAAAAATAGAATTGCCCAATTGCCCCTTGTAAGCTATTACCATTGCAAATGCCAGTAACATACTTCCTTTTCTAGCCTGAACAACCTCTTAGACGACGGACACCACACTGCACAAAATCACTTGTATTGCAAATTAAATCTATTACCGCCTAGCCTATCATTAGCAGATATCATCTTCTTTGGACTTTTCTTTCAGGCTTCCTCTCAAAGTTTTTAAAATGCGTCTATTAGGGAGAGATTTCCACACTCTTATAAAAAAATGTTTCGTTCTCTTCCCCAACCGACGTGGAATCTCACAAAATCTAACTTTCTTTCAATAATTGTAAGCTGTATGTGAGCTTAGGCTTCAAGAAAATGTTTAGTTCTGATTACTGTACGCGCACAAAACCATCTTTCCAGATATATTATCTAGCATTTAATGGTAAATTACTGGTAATGATTTTAATAGATTGGCTGCTTAATTAAACAAAACAGTGGCAATAGCACCAAAAAGCTGTCTTTAGAAACATCACAGCACCGCTCAGTGCAACATCTGACATTCAAAAGAATAAATATAAAGCTATGACCACAATTAACTACAAGGAAATGAAAAAACCGGCAGTAATCAAGCAGAGCAGACACTCCAGATCAAGCAAACCAATCAATTTATTACGGAATCAGTAAAAACAGTCTTACTTAGAAACAAAAAGTTCTTCAGAATTTTACAAACACGTTCAAATTTAACCGTTCAGAAATTTATCCAAATGAAATTATATTTGGCAATGTTTAAAAAACTGTTGGCAAGTAGGTGGCTGTGGAAAATAAAAAAAAGGTACAATTGAGTACCAAAGATTTAGATATGTTGCTTGACATACATAGATTTAAGAGCAGATTAGTGTGTGCTGAATGTAACAAGCAAGAAAATGATGAAGATATTAACCTGGAAGCAATGGAACCCAGCTTAAATATGGTAAGGATTTTCCAAAATGGTTGAGCTTAACCTTGAGCACCTGGAAAGTTTAGAAACAAAATCATAATTGCTTCTTACAGAGATCAAGGATGCTGATCGTAAGAAAAGAAGTGGAGAATGAAAAGAGAAGTAGGACTTTTACCAACAAAAGCTGCAAAAAAATGAGATAGATAGATAAGCATAGGACCCTCTGTGGGTCCATTTGTAGTAGGAAGAATTAGAGTGTTGGTGAAATAAGTGCATAGAAAGTAGTAGAATAAGCAGAATGGAAGAAAGAAAAAAGAAGTCAACAGTCTGTAAATCTATATCGGACTAAACATAAATTACTTCCAATTTCCTGAAATTTATACTTCTGAACTCCATAGGGTCTGTAGGGGTAAAAGAACGTACCTATACTCACTCTGACTAATGGCTACTTGCTGTTCCCACGTAGCTCCATAAGAAGGAATGGCTGCAATAACCCACAAGAAAAAAGTATTCATTCCACACGCGACAGTGCCTCCAAAAGCTAAGGATTCAAACTGAAAAGAAAACAAGAACTTTCAGAAAATGGCATTGCAGGTACTTCAAAATGATGAATTGAAGACGAAGGACGAAGATACAAACCGCACATGCAAGTGTATCACATCCTGAGAAAAGCTGTATGGAGAGGAGAGCATGTCATCAGTCAATATCCATTTCACATTTAACGGCAAAACTCACTGCTAGCAGATATTGTTTTCTCTATTTCCCTTTTAAGGTTCCCTTCAAGATTTTTAAAACGCGTCTGTTAGAGAGAGGTTTTCACATTGTTATAAAAAATGTTTCGTTCCCTTCTCCAACCGATGTGAGATCTCACAATCCACCTCCTTCAAGCCCTAGCATCCTTGCTGGCACTCACTCCTCTCTCCAATTGATGTGAGATCTCCCACATGCTCAAAAGTGTCAAGAATATATATATATATATATATGTGAAGAGGCAGATCACATGATCAAAATGTTCCCCCAATGGACTTAAGGAATTTGTTTTTCTTGCTTGTTTTCCATCAACAACATCAAAAGTCTAGCACGCAAGTGAACTCGAACAATTCATACATTAGAGCAAAGCACAAGGGAACCATTGTTGAAAATGAATAAGAATCAATCGAATCTGATATAAGAACAGGAGAAACACATGGGATAGATGAACCCATCTTGGTGTAGCTGAATCCTGATGAGGTGAATGAACCTTTTGCAAAAAATAGAAAATATGTGAAAAGTGAGAAATTCTCAACGTTGGCAATTATCGGTAGCTTCTTGCAGATAACGATTCCACAACATATCAATTTTCGATGACATACAAATAAATCAGAATACAAAGTTCTAGAATCCACATTTTAATTTTCTGTGCTCCGTTTGAACAAAATTGGGCAACTAATTGCAAAAATAATACAGAAACGCTACTTCCACTATGAAAATAGTTAAGTTCCCAAACACGCTAAAATTAATTAATATAGTCAGATTGATTGACCCTCACATAGCCAAGCTGAGCAGATGTGACCAAAAACATGAATCCAGCAAAAGCTATCTGACATAAAATAGTACATATATGAAGAGCAATTCCATCAAATTGGAGGTAGAAATGACAACTCAGTACGAGATGTAAGATCAATTCACCATGTTTGGGCTGAAGAAGTCCTCCGAGACAAACAGAGAGCAGAAGATGCAGCGTTGCTCGGTGGAAAAGAGCCATTTCCAAAATTCAGGAGCAAAATTCATTAAAATGACAAGAGAAACAATTATATGCTAAAGACTTACCAAATCTGTACGAGATCCATAACAAACTAAATGAGAATCGTCAAAACCAACCTGGATTTATATGTTAAAGAATTATATAAAGCAAGCAACTAATTTGCAATAAAGGAAAACATACAGCAACGTCATGAAATGCGATCGCGTAAGCTTAAATAATTTCGCAAGTTCGTGTAACCAAAAAGATGAAACACTTACGGCATCCAAACAGGAAAGAGATTCACGAAATGGCTCCGGAAGGGTTGCAAGACATATTTGGCCGCATAAGAGTGATCCTCACCACGGCACTAGTATCTTCGCAGAGCCGCCTCGCCATGTACCCTGATATAGCCCATTTCTTTCACTTTTTCAGGAACTAAATCAATTTCAAAGACAACAACCAATAACTAAAAGGATAAAACTAAAGAACTAGCAGATAATTGGTGCAATTTTTTTGGTTCACTCCAACTTTCGCGGTATTGACGAATAAAACTCAATATCCACTAAGTAAGCGTTGTAAGATTAAAGAACCCTCCTCCTAGAGTATCAAGCACAGACTGAGAGAACATTCACGAAATGAAGCAGAACACAAAATTAGCCAAGGTCCATTGACATAGAAATTTAGATACATACGGATACGGCAAAAAGCTTGAACAAGAATCCTCAAAAGAACATGCGATCCTTACAGTATCTCAGTGACTGTAAAATGAAGAGATCGAATGATCCGATGGAGAAGGAGGGAGAACACTTGAGAGCACCAACTGATTCGAAACCAGACCTTTTTGCCTCTGCCCTCTCCCGCGCTGAAGCTTGAAAGCCGGGTAACAGATCTTCTTTTTAAAACTTTAAAATGTTCTAAATAAATAAAATATGGATGAAATTTCAATAAAGTGGCTGTAGTTTAGTGGTGAGAATTCCACGTTGTGGCCGTGGAGACCTGGGCTCGAATCCCAGCAGCCACAATTGTTTTTTTTTAATCAATTAAATGTTCAGTTTGAGCCGAAAGAGGTCCATCAATTACTTGTGCAAAGCCCATTTAAAGTTAAGAATATTTGGGCTTTTCATTTTACAGTGAAACAAGAAGCCCATCTTGACGTACTTGACCCAATTTATATCAATGAAGTGGCTGTAGTTTAGTGGTAAGAATTCCACGTTGTGGCCGTGGAGACCTGGGCTCGAATCCCAGCAGCCACACTATTTTTTTTAATCAATTAAATATTCAGTTCGAGCCGAAAGAGGCCCATCATTGTGCAAAGCCCATTTAAAATCTAAAGAATATTTGGGCTGTCATTTTACCGTGAAACAAGAGGCCCATCTTGATCGTACTTGGCCCATTCATGAAAAAAAAAATTATTTAAATTAAAAAATACGTATTAATTTTTGTTCACGTTTATAAATCTATAACTCTTAAAAATAAAAAATAAAACATCTGAAATTTCTCAAATCGATTGTAAAGAAAAAATTATCGTGTATTTAAACTACTATTTTAACAATAATTTAATTAAAATTAAGTTTCATTAAACTTCAAATCATTAAGATTTACCTCGACAAACATATCTCGAAAGTGTCCAATTAATTTTTAACTTTAAATCAAAATTTATGAGAAAGTGTGTGCAAAAACATTGTGTTTCACACCCATTTTAATTAGATGCGTGTAAATTTTCATTTCATTTCATTTCATTTCATTTCGGTCTTAAAACCAAAGCAAAGTTGTGTCTTTTGTCACATCTCACCAAAAGGATTTAAAAAGGCAGCTAGGCTGTGTCTTTCTTTTCTCCTTTAGTTTTGATAGGACTAAAAAAGCTCAACCCTTTTGCATTTTTTCCCTTTTTTTTTCTTTTTTTCTTTTTTTCTTTTTTTCTTTTTTTGTGATTGAGAAATATTAATTAATTAAATATGAAAATTATTTTTTAAAAATAATTTCAATATGATTATTATTAGTAAACAACTCTAACTTTAATTAAAAATATATTAGATTATGAATAACTAAGAAATAATTTTAAAAAGTGTATTAAATTGTTTTTAAAGGTAATTATGTTGGTATTATTTGAATATAATAATAGCCATTGAGATATTTTTTTAATTTTTTTAAAAGAAATTAAATGATATTAATTAAACATTTGAAAATACAAACTTATTTTTTAAATAAAAAAAAAGCTTTTCATATAAAATGAAGTGTAAAAATATTTTTTAAACTTTTTTTTTAGTTTAAAGTATATTATTGAGATTTTTAAAATTTAAAAATAATTTTAAAACATTTTTATTAATACAGCATATTACAATAAATGAGTTCGAAGTGAAATTTTGTCTTGTAGTTTTGTCCAAAATGAATAATAAATAATAATAATAATAATAATAATAATAAATAAATAAATAAAGGCATTAGACAAAATGATTAGGGTTTTGTACAGATTGTTGATAAGAAAATGTTGAAATTGAAATGAAAAGGGAATAATAATTGGGCAGTGATTTGGGAGTTTGGTGCATTACATGCATAAATGTCTTTCAAGGTCTTCTCTAACAAGTTAGGTGGAAGTAAAGCTATCACGAAAACGTTCACGTCCAATTCCATCACATTCTATTCGTGATTAGGGTTTTATAAGAAGTCGGTTTTGTTAAAAGTTGTATTGATGCCTCAAATTAGGAGAATTGATGCTCGGTTGATGTCTTAGATTTTAGGTGTTTGGAACTTTGATACCTGTTTATGCAGTGATGACGAGACTGTAAGATCTCACATCGGTTGAAAAGCGGAATGAATCATTTTTTATATAGGTATGGAAACCTCTCCTTAGTATAAGCATTTTAAAAACTGACGGTCTCCAAGGAGAGTGGATTGTTAGATCCCACATGGTTGGAGAGGAGAACGAAGCAATTCTTAGAAGGGTATGGAAACATCTCCCTAACAAACGCGTTTTGAAATTCGTGAGACTAATGACAATATGTAACAGGCTAAAGGGTATGAAAACATCTCTCTAACAAATGCGTTTTGAAATTCGTAACGGGCTAAAGGATATGAAAACATCTCTCTAACAAATGTGTTTTAAAAACCATGAGACTGACGACGATACGTAACGGATCAAAGTGGACAATATCTGTTAATGGTGAGACTCCTTGTTAGACAATCTCTTTATTTTGTGGAAATATTAACCTAACGTAGGAATGAACTGAGCTTATTTAAAAATATAAATTTAATTATCAACTTTAATATAAATAAATAAATTAAAAAAAAAAATTCAATTATTTATTAATTTCAATAATTTGGACCTTCATCCCTTTTAAAATTTAATTATTCCGACTTTATTTTTCTCTTTTTCTTATTATTGCTTTCCAACTTTAATTAATGTCTCTTTATTCTACACATATATTTCTCAATTTAATAATTTGATTATTTGTAGCAATTTTTACCCTAAATTTTTAATATAATTAAATTATAATTTAAATTTAAATAAATGATATAATCTTTATTTTCTTATAATTTTTATCTTTTGATACAGGGAAGTGATCTTCGGTCCAGATTTACACTATTTTAGAACGAGGGTATGTGATCTTCAATCTAGATTTTCGATATTTTGGAATCAAGTTTTCTTTTTTAACCTATACCGATATTTTGGAAACAGGGTAAGTAATCTTCAATCCAAATTTTTCGATACGTTGAAACTAATGGTATAAGGAGCGAGTTCACGTGCTACTGAGTCGTGAATCCGTTTAATGGTTAAGAATCCTTAGAATATACTGAAACTATGCTGTGTACAAAACTGTAAAGGGATCTTTCTCGACCTCGACTAAGCTATCTTTTAAAAAATACCTAATATTGGGATGAAAAGGGATAGCAACATTAGTTGACTTAGGTCAAATACCTTTTACACACCAAATGGAATGATTCCAATGAGTAGGCTCACTCAACTACAGCCGTCTGATCTTGATCACACTGCTTTTAATAAAAACTGAAATTTAAAAAATAAATTATTTTTTAATTTATTTTTATTGGGCTTTGCTTTTAAAAGTAAAGTGCTTTTTGATTGTTTATGGAATGGACAGTACAATGGCATTAGATTCAATAAAGCAAGCCCAATTTAAATAATTTGCTTATATATATAATTAAAAAAAAATTAAAAACTTCAAAATTAGAAAAAAAAAAAAAAAAAAGTGATTTTGGGGTTTAAAGTTTTAAATAATTTGTTTCTATATATATATAATCTTATAAAAAAAATTAAAAAATTAAAAATAAAAATAAAAAGTGATTTTGGGGTTTAAAGTTTTAAATAATTTGCTTTTTTTTTTTTAATTTATATATATATATATATATATATATATAATTTTATAAAAAAAAATAAAAAATTAAAGTTTTAAATAATTTGCTTATATATATATATAATATATATAATTTTATAAAAAAAATTGAAAATTAAAAAAAAAAAAAAAAAAAAAAAANAAGTGATTTTGGGGTTTAAAGTTTGAGTGTGAGAGAATGTTTTTGATAACCAAAGTCGTCAGTCCAAAACAAAAGCAATTCCAACACTCCTTCAGACAACAAAAAGGAATTGGTCTGACTGACCCACAAAGTATATAACAACTTTCACATAGGTCCCTCAAATTTTTTGAATTTACTTTTAAGTCCTTTTTATTGTGTCGAGATTTTGTGACTGTGAAGAGGTTGGAATAATTCAAAACGAGCATGGAGACTAGATATCACGAGCACTTGTTGTTTGTGTAGAGAGGTAGTACGATTGTTGGTCTTTAAATCTTCTTGGAGCGAGATTCTTTTTTTTAAACTATAGGATGAAACGTGATGAGGTTGGAATAACTCAAAAAGAAAGCGGAGGTTTGTTATTATAAGATCTCACATTTTTTTATAAGAGTATGAAAACTTCTCCCTAGTAGACGCGTTTTAAAATTGTGAGGCTGACGACAATACGTAACATGCCAAAATGGACAATATCTGGTTACGATGAGATTGAGCGACATTGGGCAGTATGTCAACGAAGACCCTATACCCCAAGGGGATGGATTATGAGATCCCATATCGGTTTGAGAGAAGAACGAAACATTACTTATAAGAGTGTGGAAACCTCTGCCTAACATACACGTTATAAAACCATGAAGCTGATGGAGATACGAAATTGTGAAGATTTTGTCTCTAAATTTTTTTTTCTTTTGTCAGATTTTTTGTTTGGTATAACACGAAATTGTGAAGAGGTTGGAATAACTCAAAAAGAGAGGGAAAATTAGATATCGAGTGTTTGTCGTCTTTGTAGAGCAACAACACGCTCCCTTATCTCTTAATCTTCTTCTCATATCGAAACTTTTTTTTTATGTAGCACAAAATCGTGAAGACGTCCGGATAACTCGAAAGGAGAGTGGAAACTAAGAGCGTTGTTGAGATGAATTCAGAAGCTTGATATAGATAGATTCAAGTAGGAATAGGTTGGATTGTTCGAAATTGAAAGATAATTTATAGTCATATAGCTTGAATTCCTTTAAAATTCAGATGCGAGATACTCGTATATTTGAATTTGACATCAAATCGTGGGTATGAAAAATAAAATCTCGATGACCCACCTACAACATTCACATCAAGAGAGTTTAAAAATATTATCAAAACCGAGAATTCCCGAACACAACTCACTTTAAACTCATGCATGATTGAAGGGATTTTGTTTTGAAAGTATCTCCAAATTGGTTAACCTTAGCCTTTACCTTTTCCATATGCTTTTCTCCACTTTTCTGAGCCACTGGCCGGCACGTTGGCTCCTCTTTTCACCACCAAAAACCACTCATTTCTCTTTCCCTCGCTCAACCTGACATGAAAGCTTTGAACAAGTGAGCATTCCTGGTTCAATATGGCAACCATGTGAGGCTCAACTGCTAGCATTCTTTTCCCAAAACACATATAAAAGAAGAAAGAAAAAAACAAACACACCAACATACCAACAAATCAGCTCAAAGTTGGTGGCGTTGAGCGTTTCAGATCATCTTCTACCTGCTCTCCACTCGCTTTCTTCATAAAATCATTGCTGGGTTTTGATCTTCAACATCATTTAAGGATGACTCTAATGGGAATTAGAACAGAGCTTCCCCTGTTCTTCTTGTTTTGCTTATGGTGTTCTTCTGTAAATGGGTTGCTTACTGCAAAAGGTGTCAACTTTGAAGGTATTGTTCATGGAAGTGTTCTTATTTGGTCGTGGATGTGTTCATATTGATCTAAAGGTCAGTTTTTTACCCTTTTAGTGCAAGCCCTCATGGCCATCAAAGCTGCTCTGAAAGACCCACATTCTGTTCTTAATTGGGATGAAAACGCTGTGGATCCATGTAGCTGGAGCATGATTACTTGTTCACCGGAGAAATTCGTCATTAGCTTGTAAGAACAAAACTTGAAAGAATTCATACGATTGTTCATATGAATATGTTTGATTGTAATTCACTGCAGAGGAGCTCCTAGTCAGAACTTGTCGGGTAGCCTGTCGCCGAGCATTGGAAACTTGACCAATCTTCAGTCTGTGTGAGTAGTCATCTTCTTCTTCAATCACTAATGGAGAACAACAAAACATTCCATGTGAGATTCCACCACGTTGGTTGGAGAGCGGAACGAAACATTCTTTATAAGGGTGTGAAAACTTCTTTCTAGTAGACACGTTTAAAAAACCGTGAGGCTAACGGTTATACGGCCAATGCAGACAATATCTACTAGAAGTAGGCTTGGGCTGTTACAAATGGTATAAGAGCTAGACACTGACCAGTGTGTCAGCGAGGACGCTAGACCTCTAGAAATGTGAGGCCGACGATGATACGGAACATGTCAAAGCGGACAATATCTGCTAGTGGTGGGCGTAGGCTGTTACAAATGGTATCAGAGTTAAGACACCGGCTAAGTCCTTAAGGAGGTGAATTGTGAGATTCCACCTCGGTTGGAAAAGGGAACAACACATTCCTTATAAGGGTGTGGAAACCTCTCCCTAGCATACGTGTTTTAAAAAACTGTGAGGCTGACGGCGATACGTAGCGAGTCAAAATAGACGATATCTGCTAGCGGTGAGCTTGGGCTGTTACAAATGATCAGAGCTAGATACTGGGATACTAGGAGGTGTGCCAGCGAGAATGTTGATTCTTAAAGGGGTGGATTGTGAAATCCCACATCCCTTGGAAAGGGGAACGAAACATTCCTTATAAGGGTGTGGAAACCTCTCTCTGGCTCTGGCAGACACGTTTTAAAAAACCGTGAGGTTGACGATGATACGTAACGAGCCAAAGCGGATAACATCTGCTAGCATTGGCTTCGGCTCGCTTCTTTACTAAATTTTTTTCTTGTCACAGGCTTCTACAGGACAACAATATATCAGGAACAATCCCAATGGAGCTTGGGAACATACCAAGTCTTGACACTCTTGATCTTTCAAGCAATGGCTTCCATGGAGAAATTCCCATTTCTCTTTCAAATCTCAAGAGTTTGCAGTATCTGTAAGTTTCTTCAAGAGACCAACTTCGTTTGTGTAATTAATTAATGAATTAGCTGACAGATTAATGTTTTTGTTTGGGATTAGGAGGTTAAACAACAACAGTCTTTCTGGGGCTATTCCTTCATCTTTAGCCAATATGACTCAGCTGGCATTGCTGTAAGTGCTTTTTCTTCAAGCTTTCAGATAAACACTTCAAATTTGAACCATCATTCATGGCGTTGATTGATACAGAGACCTGTCTTTTAACAATCTCAGTGGCCCATTGCCCAGATTGCAAGCCAAAACCTACAAGTAAGTTAAGCTTAACTCGAATTCCTTCTGGTTTATTCGAGCTCTCTCGATTTAGATGATCGATTTTAGTGTTAAATTTACGAAGCCTTGCTGGGAATTCGTTCATTTGCTCATCTGGGTCGGAGCTTAGCTGCAACGGAACAGCTCCACCGCTCTTATTTGCAGTCAATACGCCTCAAAGTAAACAAATTTCCTTTTACAGAACTTTAGCTCTTTGGTATTAGATATAAACACTTATCTTTTCTTTTTCCTGTTTATGATCAGATCCACAGCCTTTAGGGCGATCCAAGGGCCACAAATTAGCCTTAGCTTTCGGCTCAAGCCTTGGCTGTGTTTTTCTGCTAACTATTGGGTTTGGCTTCTTTATTTGGTGGAGGCAACGACACAACCAGCAGATATTCTTCGATGTAAATGGTCAGTCATCACATGATCTTATTGGTTCAATAATCGTTCATTATTAACAAAAGTTCATTGAAGTTACAGACCAAAGATTTGAAGAAGTGTGCCTTGGGAACCTAAGGATTTTCCAGTTCAGAGATTTACAAGCTGCTACAAACAACTTCAGCAGCAAAAACTTGGTGGGAAAAGGTGGGTTTGGGAATGTATACAAAGGGTACCTTCAAGATGGTACAGTTATAGCTGTGAAGAGACTAAAAGATGGAAATGCCATGAGAGGAGACGTACAATTCCATACTGAAGTTGAGATGATCAGCCTAGCCGTGCACCGGAACCTCCTCCGTCTCTACGGGTTCTGCATGACAACCACGGAGCGACTGCTGGTTTACCCCTATATGTCGAACGGCAGTGTTGCATCACGTCTCAAAGGTACGACACGGAATGACAAAACTTCAAGGGTATATTTGTTTTGAAAGCTACTGATGTTTCTCCATTAACAGCGAAGCCAGCTCTGGATTGGAGTACAAGGAAAGGAATAGCGTTGGGTGCAGCTAGAGGCTTACTGTATTTGCATGAGCAGTGTGATCCTAAGATCATACACAGAGACGTCAAGGCTGCAAATATATTGCTTGATGATTACTGCGAGGCTGTGGTTGGAGATTTTGGACTGGCAAAGCTGTTGGATCACAGAGATTCACATGTGACAACTGCTGTACGAGGAACGGTTGGTCATATAGCTCCCGAGTATCTCTCGACGGGTCAATCCTCTGAGAAAACTGATGTCTTCGGATTTGGAATCCTTCTTCTTGAGCTGATCACTGGACAGAGAGCTCTTGAATTTGGAAAAGCTGCAAATCAGAAAGGAGCCATGCTTGATTGGGTTAGTCAACAATAGTGACTGAAATAACATGCTGTAATCTTACATGAAACATGTCAACATCAACAAAACGATTTCCCTGTGATTGCAGGTAAAGAAAATTCACCAAGAAAAGAAGCTGGAAATACTAGTTGACAAGGATCTAAGGAACAATTACGACCTGATCGAGCTCGAAGAAATGGTTCAAGTAGCTCTCTTATGTACACAGTATCTTCCAACCACCAGACCTAAGATGTCTGAAGTGGTTAGAATGCTTGAAGGGGATGGACTTGCCGAAAAATGGGAAGCTTCTCAGAGAGCAGAAGCAAACAGGATCAGAGTCAACGAGTTCTCCTCTTCCGAGCGATATTCTGATCTTACAGATGACTCTTCCTTGCTTGTACAAGCCATGGAGCTTTCTGGACCAAGATGATGATTATACAGTTTTTTTCCTCCTTTTTTTCTATACAAAGAATCTCAGAATGTATTTTCCTACAGAATTAGACATATTATCAAAGTGAATCTATCATATGTCAGCCTCATGTTGAGGCTCCAGTGTTGGTGTGAGATAACTCATAACTGTACAGTCCAAGTTCTCGTGCTCTTAATAGTAAAACTGGATTGAATTTTGCTCCTACAGGCTTCTGGTAATCCAATCTTTAATCACAAAACCCCGCCTGATCTGTACTTAATGATTCCAATACCGTTATCAAAATCTCTTTGGTTTAGCAATAAAATTCATCAAACAAATAGAAGCAATTAAAAAAGTTCGCTCAGCAACTATTCTTGCAAGTTCAAGGATTATTCTGAAGCCATTTGTAAGAAAAGAACTGACTAAGTAAGGGCATGTCATTGAACATGCTTGAATATAGAGCTGATAATGATGTTTCTTAAAGAACTCTTGCACTGACAAGACGAAGTGACAAGAGAAGAAATTTCACAGATCATATAACAGAAGGGGGCCATACCATTCGTGCTTGATTTCACAACAAATGCTAGCAACAAAAAATGCTATAAAGCTATCTATTTAATAATAAAAAAAAAAAATATACAAAGCAGGTATTAAACGGAAAAGGAACGTTATAGCACGTCTATTCTTAAATGAATAAAATTTCTGCTTCAGATGAAGCTCTCCTAAATTTCAACAATTCAATCAACATATTCAATCGCCGGTCCGTAACATAGACACATGGTCTGATACTCATTGTTTCAAGAATCAGAGAATTTCTAAGCAAATATTTAATAAATTCCATCTCATGTGGTACACCAGACATATCTGTCATTTTCACAACTTTAAGGTTACCAAATGTACAGTTCCAAGGACATTCATTCTCCCAAAAGTCCAAGTCAGGTGCTTCTGAAGCAGCCACAGAGTTTGAGGAGCCCTGTTTGAAAGCAATATGTAGAAAATGATCTCACCATTCATACGTTAATTAAAACATAACTTAAACATTCACACCGATTCAAGAATAGAACCGCACAGAGAAATACAAGGAACAAAATCAATTACCGAAATTTGAAGCTCCTCCAAATTTGGAGAGCTGGTAATCAAGCGAAGCACAACGAGTATTTCATTCATATCTTCAAAACTGACTTGGTGCAGTTCAATACTCCTTAAATAGATATAGGACACCGGTAGAGCTCTTGCGCTATTACCTATACTCAGATACTTCGGGTGGGGAGAAGAAATATGAGAATCACATTAAATTTCTAAAACTACCATTAAAAATAAAGCTCTGCAACAGAAGCAAGGATCATCCAATGAGTAAATAGATATAAACTATCATACCTTCGTGAAATAAATATGCCCTGTAAGTTTCTCAAGATAAGGCACCCCACCAAGAAATTTCTCAAAATTGCAATCAGAAATATCGCCAAAGGGCTCGGTATCATCATTCATATATAACGCAACCGAAATTGCAACCAAGAGTGGTGTGTTTTGAAGATATATGTCTCTGAACTCGCCTTCAAGATAGAGGTACTTGAGATTTGGAGCAAAGATATTAAGCACTAGACTATCGAAGTACGACAGCGCCAGACTCTCCAAGAGTGGACAATTAGAAATAAGACTTTCAATGTCTTCGGGTGCAATTAGAACTTGATGAAGTTTTAGGCTCTTCAAACATAAGAATCCCCTAAAAGTAGGAGGAGGATCCAATTCACAACGATACAGCTCCAATAGGGTCAATTTGGTACAGTTAAAAAGACAAGAATGCACCCGAAACCACTCGCCATCTCCCAATTCAATAATCAATTCCCTGACGCCCTTCCTTGAAAGGAAAAGCATCCACTGATCTAAATCTGGAGTATTCTGTAAGTAGGTAGCAGAAAGATGGAACTTATGAATTGGACCTTCGTGAAGAAAAAGAACATGAGTGATAAAATATATAAGGTCTTCATACATTCCATCGTTGGACACGGCAACACAATCATCATCAAACACAAGTTGAGTTAGAGTGGTCCATTTGTATCTCCATCTCCTAGATAAAATACTTGTTCTTATGGCATCTCTAATCGGTAACCTAGTTAGAATGCATTCTATAATGCTCTGAGGCAGATCGCTCAAATGATCCACCTCCAAAATGTCACCCATTTATAAATTTCGCTTTCAATCTGCAATTGAGGCAAAACACGATGAGGAACAGAAACAACACAATTATCACATCCGGGCATTTCATACAGTAAACAAGAAACAGGGAAATCGAAATCAAAAGCAAGAAACAAAACCAAAGATTTTCTATAAACCATACACGAATTACAGAACCAATCCATAAAGTAAGAAACAATTCGAGAAACGGTAGATTGAAGCTGGGTCTTCTAAGCCAAAAGGTAAACAATCAAAATGAGCATATTACTTTCGAGATCAGATCAAAAAATGCAGATTCGATAACCATGAAACTGACGGCTACAATTCATAAAACCCATCAGCGAGTAAAGGATCAAAACAAACCCGACAAGAGAGAGGAGGCGGAAAATGGCCTGGCGGTGCTCCGCAGCTCGCCGTTCGAGAGGGATCGGAGAAAGGACGGCGTAAAGAGACGACTGGAGAAAATGGAAAACATACGCAAAAATTTTCTTCCAAGGGAGTGGGCAGTGGCGGGCAGTGGCGGGCAGGGGTTTCTGTTGAGTGAAAGGGACTCTGTTCGGTGTAAGTTGCAACTCAAAATTCAACATTTTTTTTCCTAATTAAATTATTTAATGTTTTTTTTAATCTTTAATATTAAAATATATTATATGCAATTCCCATTTTCAATGGCATATATTTAACTTTAAAGACATTTTTTTTTCCATTTTTAGAAAATATTTCTTACCAAAAAAAATTTGCTAATAAATAATTTTCATTTTCAATATAATTTTTATTCTATTTTTATTAAAGGTGTAAAATATATTATAACGTTATACCTACGTAATTTTTAAAAATTCAAATCTTCAACATGATTTAACTTCAATGGTGAAAACGAAGAATGTAATCTCTCCCGCTTGATCCCATTTAATTGATGAAAAAAAATCTTATCTTGCTTCTTCCTTTATTCCCCACTCGCTCCGTAGAACGCAAAATCTCTGTAGGATCCTGATCTCATAGATTAAGTGAATATATAAAGACATTAACATGGGGGTATTTTATCTTAACAAATACTGTTTATTACGTATTACCATCCACCTCACAGATTTAAAATGCGTCTACTAAACAAATGTTTTCACACCTTATAAGGAAGGTTTTGTTGCCTTCTCCAACCAATATAAGATCTCACGATCCACCCCTTGAGGGCCCAACATGGCACACAACCCGATGTCTAGCTTTGATATCATTTGTAACAATCCAAGCCCACCACTAACAGATATTATCCACTTCAGCCCATTACATGTTGTCAAAGTTTTAAAACACGTCTACTAGAGAGAGGTTTCCACACCCTTTATAAGAAATATTTCGTTGCCCTCTCCAACCCACCAATGCGAGATCTCACAAAATATGAGCACATAAGACATATATCGACGCGGTGGAATCACAAAAGAAAAGTTAAAAGGTAGAGCATAAGTTTCAATTCTAAAAGATAAAAATGTAGTTGAGACGTCTACCTATTACTGAAATGAATGTAGTTTATTACACCCTTCTCAGATAGAACTCAAAGAGAACCTTGAAAGCTCAAACTTTTCTCTGCCTCCAGTCTCAATAATCCATCGTCTTTCCCGCGTTGAAGGGTGAACGCTGCAACACAATTTGTGGAAACCCAACCAGAGGATAATCATAAAAACATGAAAAACTTCTAATAATCTCTGAATCAATTACGACTTAAGCTCTTGTACAACAAAATTCCTACACCTCCCACAGCTACAGTCAACAAGAGAGGAAGTCTTAGCGGCTCGGGATCAGGTATTATGGTTTTCTTCTTTGTTCTTACTTGACGGGATCGTTCCCCCGCGCTATCACGTTCCCGAAGAAGATTGCTAAGGCAATCTAATTGGTGCATAACTTGTCGTTGCCCCCTCACGATTCCTGATATCTAATCACAGATGACAAGCCGGGGAAAGTCGTAAACATATATCTAATGGACAGGGATTGAAGAATGACAGCTGAGCTTAGCTATTTACCTCATCCATTAAAGGAGAATCCTTGGCCAACTGGGAGAAGGATGAAGAATTGGGTATAATGCAACCAGTCAAGGAGCCATTACCCAATCCAGAGACGAAACAAGAAGTCGGCACAGAACCGTTGCATGTTTCCGCTTGGAGATTCAGGTTGTGGTGGCTTGGAGAATTCGTCTTGAAGCTCAACTTTGAATTCAACTCCTCGATTCGAGTTGTAAACTCGTCCATTCGATCATTGAGTGATGAAATTTGTTCAGAAAGCTGAGTAATGGCTCCCTGTGCAATGGTTTAAAGAAGTTAAAGTAAGACAGATTTGGAACTTTGGACAGATAATATGGGTATCATGAGTATTCATCAGCAAGCCAAATAACACCGGGTATCGTGAACGTGGATCTACCTGGTTCGCAAGCATTGCCGAAGACTCCGTGTTGCTGTCGACAAATCTTTGGTTGTTGGAAGCATATCCAGTCAGATTTTTCTCCCTTTGGGTTGTATATGACTGAGATATGCCACTGCTCAATAGAAGTTTTGGCGAATTAGACATAGCAGTAAACATTTTTATGGATGGAGATTTGTTCTGATTGTGAACAAGTACTGATAGCTCAAAATGGTTCCTTATGTTTCTACATCAAAATAATCTACGACTCCGAATCACCATCGGTCTTAAGCCTTCAAGAGCATTGAAGCTTAAGATTGTGTAACAGCCCAAGTCTACCGCTAGCAGATGTTGTCTTGTTTGGACTTTCCCTTTCGGGCTTCCCTTCAAGGTTTTTAAAACACATCTGCTAAGGAGAGGTTTCCACACCCTTATAAAAAATGTTTCATTCTCCTCCCACATCGGTTGGAGAAGGGAATGAGTGCCAGCAAGAATGCTAGGCCCCGTGCATTTATTTTCTTAGACTTCGATTAAAATAGGATGTTTTTAATTTAAATGTTTATTTACTTCATTTAGTATTTCGTTGTGTCGTTTTAAAGATGTTTTCGAACACGTAAGTCCATGACAGTATTTTGAAATGAAATTTATGTCTAATGAAGAAGTTTAAACGTTTATTTCCGCATAGAAATGATTACGCTATGATGACGGTAGCGTAGCAACTCTAGGTAAGTAGAAATCTAGGGTCGTTACAGACGGCATGCATAGCCTAGTTTGTTCAAATGTAAGTTAGAAAGTCGTGTCTTGACTAGAGGCTAACCTATGAACCTTATGCCTCAAATGGCTTATAAAACACTTGAACCATAAAAAACGTCTAACCTTTTGAGATTTCTATTTCTCAAGGAAACTCTATCAGCAGAGGCTCTAGAGAGTGCTTCAATGGGGCTTGAAACTAGATCCTCGTCAAGACTGAGTTTAGACTTCAAATCATCTGGCAAGGCCTGTAGAATGATATGTTCATGCCAAAGAATTGAATGCAAATAAATTAGATTGTAAGAAGATTTCATACCATGACTTCATTTACAAGCTTCTCCAGTTGAATCTGTTCAATGTAGGTACGAGGAATGTAGGAACCATCCAAGCCAAGCTGCTCCGCTACATGTTTTACGACTAGCCGATCTTTACCTTGTACCTATTTCACCAAGAAGTGAAAGGTAGGGAAGAATCAGATAATCATCAACAAGCAGAACGCTGGATTATTGAGAAGAACAAGAACAAAAAGGTATAGAGCTATATGGCCAACTGGAATGAATATCAAGTATATATCACAACGAAATAACAATACCGTTCGAGTACCTGAACGTTCTGGCGATTTAATTGTTCCAGCCAATCAATTTTGACACACACTCTGTGATCTGAGAATACATGGCTCTTTCTTTTAAGAATTGTTGCTATTGTGTATCCTAAGGCCATCAGTCCACCAAGAAGGCGCACACTGACCTCGAAAGTTATTCTCGGAGATATGATAAATGGATTGTCGGTAACCCATTCCTGTAACGTTCAATAAATGTTGTGTTCAGTTCTCATCAAAACAGAATACATGAGATTAAAATGACACAAGTTTCTGATTTATGGGTTTTGCACATTTTATGTTAACGACATCTAAACTATCTAGTTCAAACACGACAGGTCTACAGAACATCAATCATCGAACCCGAGCAGCATTAATTCACAGGCTTGGATGACAATCCCCGTAGATTTCATAATCAGCAAATCATAAATGCAATATATGATGTAACAAACTTGAAGAAGAGCAATGCTACATAGTTTCTCCTACAGCACCCTGATACTCAAGGAAAAAATTGCTGATCAATACACACAAATAATTTTTTTCCAATGTTTAGAGCATCCAATCAACTAATGTACCACAGATCGCTTTATGAACAAAAAGTATGCTAAAGAGCTTCATGCATACGTAAAAATTCAGTCCGGACTGTATCAGGTAAACAGATGAAACAAAACGTTCTCTAAACTCATACACTTTGAAAATTAAAGTCGACTCCTGATACGGATATTAGCAAACCAATTTGGAGTGATGATAAGTAACTAGATAAAACCTAGAGTGTAAGCACCAGCTAATTAGATTAGCCATGTTAGAAAATTATGACATGAGCTGAGCACCATATACAACTTATTTTTTACGCATAAAAAGAGCAGAGGACTAGGAAAGTAATCCGAAATGTTTGGCAATGTGGATGATAAAGATGCCACAATAAGTGTAGAACACTAAGATAAAGTCAAGAACACACGAGAGTACTCAGCTGACAACCTCAAACATGAGACTGTATTTTCCTTCTTTGTTGCGCATCCTTAGATACGATTGACAAGACTCGGGATCTTCACCTGGTGGCAACAGATATATGTCGTATGTCTGCTCCAAATTTTCTGTATGATCTTCAGATAATACAGACTTAATTTGATCCACTGTTATCTTTCTTGCTGACTACAAAGACAGTGCAAACAGGTTGTCAATGTAGAAAAAGACCCCAAGCAAAACGACATTTCGGCAATTCTTGTTGCTAGTACCTAAAAAACTTAAGGGCCAAAAGAATAACCTTCAATATGTAAGTGGGACTTTGAAATCCTGTAAAGGGATTGAATTTGTTGATGATTTTTATATGCGCAGTTTCAAGATCTGGTTCAATAAAAGCCTTGTACATTGGATACACCTGCGGGAAAAATAGTTTACTTGAGAACTCTGAAGTTACTATAACAAAATGCTAAGCAGGAGAGAACAAACTGTTTCAGAAATTTGATGAATAATTTCTTCTGGTTCTTGGCCAGCACGTTGGATGTCACGTAACACCCGTTTCACAAGGTCAAAGTGAACTCCACCTCTAACAGAAACTCGAAGGTCCAACAGGGGCCGCAATCTTTCATTTAATGCATAAATTCCCTCGATGATCACAATCCTTGAGCTTGGAGCCTCAACTGTCCTGTAACGAAAGCAAAGGAGAACAAAATATTGTAAACGTGTGCCAGATTTTTTCTTCTTCCGAATTCTATTCTTTCGTGAACGAACACGTTTGATATAACTACAAAGGCAACAATCAAATTCTTCACAACAAGTTTAAATGGGACCTTTTTGCCACTTAACTTATGCTATGTTTAATACTTAATAGTAAGCTAGTCTATTGAAAAGATTAAGCAACCTGTATCCAATTCTGGAACTAGATTTGAAATCATAAATAGGGACTTGAACTTGCTTCCCTGCTTTTAGATCTTGGACATTCTGGAGCAAAGTGTCGTAGTCAGTTAAGCGTGGATCTGTAATAACACGTCAAGGAAACCGGTTAAAGTTTTAACCATACATCCCAAATTAAACTTTCCAGTCCGTTTAGACCGATGTACAAGTAAATTTATACAAATAATGTCAAGCAGCTGTGAATTTCAACTTGGGAGTATTGTCACAAGATAATCACCATTCATATTATCCAAGCATTATGTAATCTTAGACACCACTCCATTACAACTTGCTAGAATAATTCATTTTGGAAAACAAAAAGCCCTTGCTACAATAAACTCTAACATGTATATCTTACACCAAAGAAACGAATAATTCACAAGACAATCATGCAAAGCAATTACCAGTTCTAGTCTCATTCCAAAATCACCAAAACTAATTGTTTCCACTCTACAAGGATTCTATTCTAGGTGCCCTTCTCATATCATAATCATGAAATCACACAAAATAGCTTCCGTTTACGGGAATTATTTCTCCGTATTGCATTTCAAACAGAATTCAATAACCTATGCCCAATTCAATCATTTGGCTAAGAAACTAACATAAATCTCGACAACGTTGACTAAACACTTGATGAACTTGTTAAGCATCAAAAGTTACTTAGAACAGCATTAATGAGGCATCTGCAGGATAGTTCACAAAAAACTGAAGAAACTAAAGGTAATTTTACCATCAAAGTTGCCATCGACAATTCGACTTGCATCATTATAATCATCCATTGATATGATAGCAATACTGGGCATAAAGTTCATTATCTTTTCTGTGAAAACTGTTTTTCCAGCCCCAGAAGGACCAGCTAAACCAACCAATATTATTCCTTCATTCTTCTGTGCTAGCAGCTGGCAGGCACGAATAACTATGAAGAACCCTTTCTCAAATGACAAAGGATCTTGGATTGAAACAATTTCATAGCGATCCGAATCCTTTCTCTTAACCAATCTCACTTGATCTTTCAATAGACCTGCCCGTTTCTGATGAGATTCAGAACCAGAATGATCTTGAGCCATTAAACTGAGCTGCTACTTTCCTCACAAAAATGCTGCAAGATAAACAGATCTGTGAATGAACAAGAAAAAGACAGCAACCATGAAAAATGATAGAATCAAACAGAATTGCAACAACAACCTATGAACTCAATCAATTATTAGTAGAAAATTGCTACATATTGATCTATGCGTATCAGATTTATGCAATAACAATGCAAGTTAAATGAACTAAGAGGGTACAATATGCTCAACTTCAAAATGACATTCCAGGACTCAATTACATTTTGCAACCACAGAAAAATGATTGAGGCGAAATTCAGATAAATCGAACAAACTTCCAAGAAAATAAACGAAGAAGCTAAATACATTCAAAGGAAACAGAGCAATCAAGTAAAAATCCAACCAAACACCTTATAAAATCACAATTAAACAACACTAACAAAAACCCCCCTTCGAAATGACAAAAATACGACGAACAAATCACAATAAGAATCACCCAGAAAGTAAATTAACAAAAAAAAACTACAAAAAATCGAGCGCCCCAGAATAAAAAATTCAGAGAAGAAAGCGAGACCAATCACAGTGGCTCTGCTTTAACTAACAACCACCCATTTGACTACGACAGAATGTACACAAGTAACGGACTGGACAAAAGATGAAAGGAAAAGATAGAAAACGATTGGAAAACGAATCAACATCCATGAATCACGACAATGAAGATATCAATTCCGGAATTTACTAAAAGAAAGAGAGAGAGAAGATGAGATTGAAGCCAAAACCCCTTATGGCATTTGATTCGAAAGCACTCACCGATTGAGAGGGAGTTTTGTGATCACAATGGGTCACAAATGAGCACAGCCGCAGCTTAGATGGCTGCCCATTTCCATCATTGTAAGGTCGGTTATATAGTGATTCCCTTTGCCTCTGGTTTCTTCCTACACAAAGAAGCAGCTAAAATTAATGGAATTTATATATTTATTCATATATATATATATATTCTGCTTACTTTCTCCTTTATTTGAGTTTTGGGAAGTGCGAATTCCAGAGAATCTGCAGACGCTCTTAAATGAAAATCGAGACAAGGACTTCAGAGAAGAGGAAAACTGGGAGAAATGGTATTTCTTTTTTAATTTTTATATATATTAGAATTTAATTTTAAAATTCACAATTTTTTTTTTCATAATTAATGAGTAAAATTCTTATAAAAATATAGAGTATATATAAAAAAAAAAAACTCATAATTTAATTTAAATGTGATTCTATTGGATCTTTCGTTGTTCTGGCTAAAATCTCTCTCCTCAACTAGGTAATTAAAATATTTGTGAAAAATAAAGGTAATATTATGACATAAATTTTTAAATAAATGGCAAAATTCTAACCCCATCAATTATATCTATACGGTAATATTAACGTTGGAAAGAAAAAATATAAAATTTTAAATAAATTGCAAAATTCTCGAGTATTATTATAATACTGTCAAGGGTAATATTACAACTTTCGAAAGAAAAAAATATAAAATTTTAAATAAATTGCAAAATTCTCGAGTATTATTATAATACTGTCAAGGGTAATATTACAATTTTGGAAAGAAAAAATATAAATTTTTAAATAAATTGCAAAATTCTCGAGTATTATTATAATACTATCAATTATATACATAGGGTAATATTACAACTTTGGAAAGAAAAAATATAAATTTTTAAATAAATGGCAGAATTCTCGAGCATCATTATACTCCGTCTATTATATATATAGGATAATATTACAACTTTCGAAAGAAAAAAAATATAAATTTTTAAATAAATTGCAGAATTCCCGAGCATCATTATAACTCATTCAATTATATATAGGGTAATATTACAAACTTTTGAAAAAAAAACATAAATTTTTAAATAAATGGTAGAATTCTCGAGCATCATTATAACCCCGTCAATTATATATATATATATATATGGTAATATTAGAAAAAAAAACATAAATTTTAAAATAAATGACAGAATTCTCGAGCATCATTATAACTCCATCAATTATATATATATATCCAACGTACAAACACAGCTTAGGAAAAAGGTATAATTAGGGTTTCGGGTGTGCAATATGTTCCTTTTATGCATTTTCAAAATTAATTTAGAAATAAAAAAAATTTGTATTTAAATCATATGCTACAAATATGGGATTTTAATCGAATAAATAGAATCAAATTATTATGTATTTTTTAAATTAATTTTTGAATTTTTCAGATATCTCGAGCCTTGTGCTCTTAATGTCAAGCTAGAACGAGAGTTTTAAATCTTTTTTTAGTAAACGCATTTTAAAATTGTGAAGTTAACGACGATATGTAACAGGTCGAAGCAGACAATGTCTACTCGTGGTGAGCTTGGATGGTTACAAATGGTAGCAGAGCTAGTCATCGGACGATGCAATGCACTAATTGGACTAGGGCTAGACCATGGACTTGGACAGTTACAAATGGTATCAGAGTCAGTCATCGAACGATGCGATGTATTGGTTAAAGTAGGGATAGACTCTTTTCATAGTAGACATTTTAAAATCGTGAAGCTGATGAAGATTGGTTGATGTAGGGCTAGACCCTGAACTTGGATGGTTACAAATGGTACAAGTGTCAGTCACCAAACAATGCAACGTACTGATCAAAGTAGGGCTAGACCCTCTCCATAATAGGTGCGGCTAACAAGGATTGGTCAGAGTAGGGCTAGACCTTCTCTATAGTAGACACGTTTTAAAATTGTGAAGCTAATGGAAATACATAATAGGTTAAAGCAAACAATACGAACTTCAAGTTTGCGAAGATTTCATTATTCAAATCCAAGAATACAAAAGATTACAAAGATTTCTAAGCTCCAAGAAACAAACCCAGAATTTCATACAATGTAAAGAACAGATAGCAATGTTAAAGAACAGATAGCAATTTCTTCATAGAAACACAAAAATGATATCAAGTGTTGATAAACCTGCAGTTTGTTCTAACTTCCCCAGTGAAATAGCTATCATAGTTAGTGATATTCCCCAACTTCACCATGGAATCAGAGAATTGCTGAAAGAAAGCAAGTGGTTCAGCAGCATATTTCTTAACCAGTGCTCTTGTTTCCATGCCAAGAAGGCTTGAATACAGTTCCTGGTCTGAATTCATAAGCCCTTCTTCTCTCATCAGCATGTGGAAATAGGAGTTGTCAAACACCTCTGGTGTCACATTGTCCATTGCTGTTATGTTGTTCTCTGCAGCTTTACCAACTGGGGGGCAGATGGATCTCAACTTGTCAAGATACGACTTCGAGATCGGGTTGTTACCGTCGTTGGAAGTTGCTTCAAAATCCCCGTAAATCCTTTCCCTGAAATTCTCGCACCTTGCCATCCCGATCGTGTGCGCTCCTGAACGTATTTAACATGGTATCAGAATATGACGAAAACTTTCTCGTGTTTTTACCACTTACACTTTCAAAATAATGTCCGGTTAGTCTGTATACTTCGAAAAGACTATAATAAGTCACAAACTTTGAGTTCTATGTCTACTTTGTCTCTATTGATAATTCCATAAGTTTAATGTTCGAGTTTACTAAAAAGTGGGGAGAGAGGAACGAGTGCCAGCAAGAACGCTGGGTCTCGGAGAGAGTGGATGGTGAGGTTCCACATCGGTTGGAGAGAGAAACGAGTGACAGCGAGGACGTTGAGCCTTGAAGGGAGTAGATTGTGAGATCCCACATCGGTTGGGAAAGAGAACTGAACATTCTTTATAAGGGTGTGGAAACTTCTGCCTAAAAGACGGGTTTTAAAAACCTTGGGGGAAAACTGAAAGAAAAAATTCAAAGAGGACAATATTTGCTAGTGGTAGGCTTAGCCGTTACACTATTAGACACGAAACTGAATGTTCAAGTATTTATTCGAAAGCTTTTCGAGGTGCAACAAGTACATAAACACAACCTCGAAAGCTTTATAGAGAAGCTAAACACACAAAACCCGAAAAACTTTGAGAACAAAACTTATAATTTAACCTCAGAGTTCCCAAATCAAATTGTAAAACTACAATACCTGATAGAGCTACCATGTCAGTGACAGAGAGACCCTGATAAAGAAACTTGGAGATGATACTCAGAAGTCCCTCATTGGCAGAGGGAAGATTTGCGTCTGCTAGTTCATAACCCGCAGTTGTGGAATCCATTCTTCCAAGAGGAATCTCCCAGTAAGGACCGCCCACCTGAAAAACAAGACATTCCAACATTTTCACACTCATTAATTGTTTCACCTAAGCCCAAGCTCATCGCTAGCCGATATTGTCCTCTTTGGGCTTTCCCTTTCGAGTTTCCCATCAAAGTTTTTAAAAACGCGTCAGCTAAGGAGAGGTTTTCACACCCTTATAAAGAATGTTTTGTTATTCTCTCCAACCGATGTGGGATCTCCCAATCCAACCCCCTTGGAGAAGGGAACGAGTGCCAGTGAGAACGTTAGGCACTGAAGGAGGTGGATTGTGAGATCCCACATCGGTTGGAGAGGAGAACGAATTATTCTTTATAAAAGTGTGGAAACCTCTTACTAACAGACAGGTTTTAAAGGAAAAGCCGAAAGAGTACAATATCAGATAGTAGTGGGCTTGAACCGTTACATGGAAAACCTATGGTGCTAAAGAATTTGAGCTAATAGTTACCAGAATCACTGCATCCCTGGCTGCAATAGTGAGTATGTCTGCACAAGAAACAATCCCTGGACATTCAGATTCAAGGCTATTCTTTATCCTGTCAATGATTCTAAAGCCTTTCAAGGAGTGAATGTTGGTGGAAGCCTTTTTCTCTCCCTGCAACGTTATCGTGTCGTCCAGCAGAACCGACCCGTCACACCCCTATTTCAAATTCTAACGATTAGTTTGATTTGCACAACTATCTTGATTAAAAGCCAAAGTTGGTTACGGTAACCGTCTAAGTCCACTGCAAGTAAATATTGTCTGCTTTGGCCTGTTATATATCGTCGTCAGCCTCACGGTTTTAAAACGTGTCTACTAGGGAGAAGTTTCCACACCCTTATAAGAAATGTTTCATTCCCTTCTCCAACTAATGTGGGATCTCACAATCCACCTCTCTTGGGGGCCCAACGTTCTCATTGGCACACCGCCCGGTGTTTAGCTTTGATACCATTTGTAACAGTCCAAGCCCACCACTAGCAGATATTGTCCTCTTTAGACTTTCCCTTCAAGGTTTTAAAACGGGTTTATTAGGGAGAGGTTTCCACACTCTTATAAGAAATGTTTTGTTTCCCTCTCCAACCGATGTGGGATCTCACAATCCACTTCCTTTGGGGGCTCAACGTCCTTGTTGACACACTATCCGGTATCTATCTCTAAGACCATTTATAACCGCCCGAACCCACCTCTAGCAAATACTGTCTGCTTTGGTCGGTTACATATCGCCGTTAGCCATACGGTTTTAAAACACATCTGCTAGGGAGAGGTTTCCATTTCCACACCCTTATAAGGAATGCTTCATTCCCCTCTCCAACTAATGTGGATCACACCGTTACTTACCTGAGGCAGAGTCCTTCAGTAACGTTTACGTAATCTTTCTTTAGTTATCCTTTACCATCAGTGAGAAACATTTCTAATATCGTACATAAACAACAAAATCAAGTCCCTAATTTCCTTTTTAGTGCTTCAAAAACGAAACAAAAACATTATCAAACACGCCCGGACCGAAGCAGCTAAATTTTATTCAAGAGCTGATCAAAACATGATCAGCATCATAAAGATGAAGCAATACAAAAGTGAATAGAAAGAGGAGAAGAACCTGAACAAAGCAGTCATGGAAGTGCAAGCGGACAACAAAAGCTGCATTGCGTGGGTCAGAAAGCACTGCACACTCCATCTCTTTCCTCACAACCTGCAACACAGTGGGACAAGTTTTGGCATAGTAATCCAACGTCAAGCTGTGGCTCACAGACAAGAAAGCACAAAGCCCCATCAGCCCATAAACGAGGCAAGGGGAGAGATTTGAGATACCCATCTTTTACCACTCATTTCTTCAATGCCCATGCATCAAGCTTTTTAAAGGCAGCAGTTTTAGTTTTAGCTGCTTTCTTGCAGGGCTGCATTATGGACAGTTCTTGAGGTCAAGAGTGGATGCAACTAACATTGGTCTGGTTGTTGGGTCTTCCCAAACGAAACCCAAAAAAGAACAGGGAGAAAGGACAGACAGAGTGTTAAGGTAAGATAGAACAAACCGTCGTTCACCGAACACATAATATATGTCTTAATTAGCTAAACAAGACTCGTTCTTTCTCGGAACGATCCTGTAAAAAAGGCGGCCTGCTGTATCTCAAAGAGGTAGAAAAATTCATCAAAAGTGCAAAAATTTAAATTTCTAGAACAGGTGTAAGCGTGGGGGTTTAGAGTTCATAGCTGAACAAGAAAACATAAAATAAATGGATCAAAAATCAAACAACACCCTGGAATGAATTATAGCATTGAATTCTTCTCCAATGCTTTAGAGTTGTTGAGAAAAATATTACATTTCAAATTTGAAAGGATTTTTAAAATATATTTTGATTTGAACCGCTTTCACTTTGTTTTTTTCTCTAAAGTTTCAAAAACAGAAGTATAAATTTTAGATGATGACTACAAGCCTTTTGTTTTATACTAATTAAAATTACTTTTGTTTTCAATTTTTTTTAAAACTCTACCTTTTGAAATTTAATTTTAAAATGTGACAAAAGCTTTAATAAATATAATATTTCTGGTAAAATACTCAATTTATTTTTATTAAATTAAAATCTGTATAACATTATATTATAAATTATATGATATTACAAAATAATAGTTATATAAAATTTATAACTAAAAAATTATGCTCATAAATAAATTAATTAATTAATTAATAATAGTGCAGATTCAACTTAATTGTATAAATATATTATAGAACACATCAAGCTAGATTTGCCTATCATCAATGCTAAAATTTATTAGATCTACGTGATTTTAAAATCTTGGGAACAAAAAATTGCTTGAAAATAATTTTACTTGCACAATTATACGTTTGATAATGTAAAAGGTAATGTCCACGTAAAGCTCTACGAGAAGGGCGGTGAACAAAAAAATGTACAAGGTAACGTTCACGTACGACTCTAATGAGATGACTCTTTCTTATTAAGATAAACTATTTGATTATGCTCGTATTGTTGTTTTGAACTTGAAAATGCTTGAAATACGAAAATTTGAATATCTAGCAAGATTGGGTATCAATTATTTAGAATTAAAAGTAAAATCAAACGTTAAATTAACTGTCCACAATGACTCACTCACAGGCATGCGTACCATTTTTTGAGATTCGTAGGAGCATTATTTTGCAATCGGCAAAATTCTGGTTTCCACGTCCGATAGAAAAGGCCCACTAATCCGTGGAAAAGCAGGCCCAGTCGCCGCCGCCGCCGCCGCCGCCCGCACTCCGCCATCCAGACGACTGCTCTGGATCTCAACTACGAAGCCTCCGTTGCTTGCCAACATAGGTTCCAAGCCTCTCTCTTAATACAAAACTCTCTCCTAATGCTAGCTACAGCGTCTCCGACTAGGACCTCGAATCCCGAGGCTTCGTCCTTCACCGCACCGTCTCCGTCCTCAACCTCGACCAAACGAACTCGGTCTTCGCTGCCGTTGGATTCCACAAACGCGATCCGGACAAGATCAAGATTGCGTTAGAGCACACGGACGCGTTGCTCTGGATCCACGCAGCGGCCTGTGGCGACGGCGTGTTCGACGCGATTGTATGGGATGTGGTGATGGTCCTTCCTTCCAAGGGCTTGGTTTGGGAAAGGCTGTGATCGAGAGGATTATCGAGGACTTACTGCGTAAAGGCATTTTAAATATCGCATTGAAATCGGAGCCTCGCGTGCTAGGGTTCTACAGACCTCTAGGTTTCGTCGCGGATCAGGATGCGATCCGTGGAATGGCGTATTCGAGAAAGAGAAAGAAAAAGAAAAATCAAATACAGAAATGCTCAAATCCAACAGCGTCCGATTCAACTACAGTATTTAACTACCAAAGCGTTCGATCTTTCCCCAGTGAAATTCGAAAAGAGAAGAAAAAGCAACAAACAAGCAATCAAGTCAACTTTCCATTTCTATTACCATTGAGATCAAAATTTTCTCCAGGATTCGGATCAAACAGACGACGAAAGAATCGGAACACGATTCCGATTCGAGATTAGGATGAAAAACAAGAATAGCAAAAGAGCGTACCTCCGATCGAACGCCGGATTAGGAAACATCCTTAGTACTGTGCAAGAAAGCGGCAGAGCAAAGAATGGTAGCAATAAGAGCAAAAATTCCCAAACCTATGACGAGAGAAATTCCGGCGACGAACAAATCCAGTAGGCCTTGAATGCTCAAACTGATCAGCATCTTCTTCTTCAACTTGCTATTCTGCGTGTAAGAGTAAAAATCGAAACGCAAACGGCCATGGCCATTAACCAGATGCAGAGGCAGCAAAATTACGACACGCCTCACTGCTCTGCGATGGAAATCACCGTATAACGTGTCGACTTCTGTGAAATTGTACATATGGATGCCTTCCTGCGTGTTTCTCTCTTGGATATGGTTCTTTCGTGAATTATGAATTATTTAATTATTTAATTTGCTTTATTTTCCTCCAGGAAAATTCATTTTTCCTTTAATTTTATTTTATCAATTTTAATATTAGTCATTTTATTTTTATACTAAAACAATATAAGTGTCTTAAAATTTATCCAATGAAGGGTCTACCATAGAGAGTCATGATTATAAATCTATGATCATTTCCTAAATAACACCTCTCCAATAAAGAGTCTGGATTATAAACCCAGCTGACTAACACCTCTCCAATAAAAAGAGTCTTGATTATAAACCCATGATCATTTCCTAAATTAGTCGATGTGAGACTTTCATCATCCAAACACCTCCCCTTAATCGAAGCCCGACTCCTTTGGAGTCTTAGTCATTTTTTACTGTCTTTGAAGAGGCTTGACTCCTTTTCTTTTGGAGAAGTGCGCCTCCCCTTAATCGAGGTTCAACTCGGGTCTTAGTCATTTTTTAATGCCTTCGAAGAGACTTCACTCCTTTTCTTTTGAAGTCTTTTATTCGATATTTGAGGATCATCATCCAACACCTCCCCTCGAACAAAGTGTGCCTCCCCTTAATTGAGGCTCGACTCCTCTTCTTTTGGGGTTCTTTGTTCGATATTTAAGAATTTACCAATATGATACTATGTAGACGAACACGACTCTCCACAATGGTATGATATTGTCCACTTTGATCATAAGCTATCATGGCTTTGATTTGACCTTCCCCGAAAGGTCTCATTCCAATGAAGAGAGTATTCCTTGATTATAAACTCATAATCATTCCTTAAAGTAGGTGGACTTTCATGAAGAAAAGGAATATTAACAAAAAAAAAAAAAAAAAAAACTAATTAANAATAATAATAAATCATAAACTATATTTTAACCAATCATTTTTTTAATTTATAAATCTATCTCATATATAATTTTAATCCATATAAATACACTATGGGTCCCCAAATAGGCACAAGGAAGTAAGGAAAGGTGGCGAAGCCGACCACTTTCGAGAGAAACGGAAGCCATGCGGGAGGAGATGTAATTGATGTTGAAATTGAAGTACGCTTGTCTTGATTTTGTTCGTCCAAATCCGAGAAGCAATTGATTAGAACAATGGAGTTGGAAGCTGATTTTGCAAACAAAAAAGACATCAATTAAATTAGTTCATCTTTATTTCAGAACTACCGACCTTCAATTCAGTTCTTCTTCCTACATCTGGATTCGATGTGACACTGTACTTTAATCTCCTCCCACGCTCCCATCCACTCCATCGGGCATCGCCTAAACCCAAGCAAAAAGGAGGAAAGGAGGTACGGATGATTAGAATTATGCTGTTTATCTTTCTACGAATTCGAAATATTCTAGTGATTGGAAGGAAAAAAGTTTGGTGAGACTTGTCAAATGCTGTCGACTTTTTGATCCAATCCTGTAGTAAATTAATTTGCAAGTGGATTTCAAGTCGAAGAGGCGAAAAGAAGAGGAAACATTAATTTAAAGCATATGTGATTAATTTATTGTTAGAACCATGGGAAAGCTTGACTTCGGTGTGCTATGGCGGACACTTGGTGGAGTCGTGTGCTTAAATAATCATTTGGATAACATTGGGGGTTATGACATTAGGAGCAATTTTCTTTCCTTTTGGAGTTTCTTGGCTTTTTTGCTTTAAGTAGGATAAATGGGTGGATAGGAAGAAGATTGACGCGACTTTTTGATCCAAGTGTTTTTATATTGGGTTGGTATACGGTGCAGCAATTCTGCTTTTCAACGTCTAAGTTTAGGACAAGGTTTGGAGTTTCTTGAATGACGCATGCAAGTGAATGTAACAAAAAGGGAAAATGAAACCAGTGCCTATCAATATGAATGGAATGGTAGCCACTTGCCACCGCCAAGCCAGATTTTTGGTATGGTTATGCTTCACAGCCAAGGTGTTTGATGAAATGCTTCAGAGAAAGAGCTGCTGCAGCGATTTAGGTAAATGATGTGAACAACCTAATTGGGTCCCCTCCAACCCAATATTTCAGTGCTTAATGAGTCATCATACTTCTAATTAAGTTGGTAATTAGAACTTGAGAATTTGCCTTTTTGTGTTAACCTTCATTACGTCATTGATTCAGGAGGTGTTATTGGCTGCTTGAGTTCAATGCATTATGCTTCTGTAGTCTGGTGGTGGGAGTTCTTTAGGTAAAGTTCTAGCCTGAGTTTGACTTTAATGCCATTAGTCTTTGTTTTAACCTTTGAATTCTTTCACCTATGACATGATTTCATCCGTCACCACTTATGAGTATATATGTATCCGTGCCTGCGCGTGTTTATATCTACATTAGATGCATATCAAGCTGTACACTGATAGGGTCATTACAATAATGTGTTTAAGCCTTGTGCTCATGTAAATTTCCCAAGAACTGTAGCTTTACTTTGCTCAATTGGCCCACTTTTCCAACTTTATCATCCTATAAAAACCCATCATTTCTCCTGCTCTTATCACTGGCCTCTCCATCAGCAATCTTCTAGACAAACCCCCTGAAGCCACTATCAACAAAAGTTTTCAAACATGGTTCCAGCTGAAATGACTGGCATCCAGTTTTTTCCATCTGAAAACGCTTTTCAAATTCCTTCAAATATTGGCATGATCCAGAACAGCTTTCAGACCTTCCATCATTTGAATGACTTTCTAGGAAACCAACCAATGTCTCACGTCCCTCATCCTGGCCTTGAATTCCTTGCACAATCCTTAAGTTTTAGCTACAACTCAACATCTGATGAAGCCGAGGAACAACAGAAAAGTATTATTGATGAGAGAAAGCAAAGGAGAATGATTTCTAATAGAGAATCAGCTCGTAGATCACGGATGAGAAAACAGAAACACCTTGATGAGCTTTGGTCTCAGGTGCTTAGGCTTCGCTCTGAGAACCATGAGCTGGTGGACAAGTTGAACCACATATCTGATTGCCACGAAAAGCTTCTTCTGGAGAATGCCAAGCTGAAGGAGGAAGCCTCTGATCTTCGTCAGATGCTCAGTCACTTGCAAATTGGCAGACCTTACAATCCTTGCTTGAGTGACCTTGAAGATATTCCCAGCAACACTGTACATCTCAGAGCTGAATCTTCATCATGCCAGTCCATCGCCAACTCCATGGATAACCTACTCTTCATGGAGGATAAATCTTTAACTTTCTAAACTTCTAGTTCTTTTTATCTAGTTTTGTTATTAGTCATCAGTCTTTGCTTTGAGCTTGTATGAGATCAGTAGTAGAATAAGATTGTTTTGAGTTTCAACCAGAGGTTGAATCCGGTGTTTTCTCACTACCTGTTAAAATTAGCATTCATGAAACGAATTGCTCTCTGCCCGCCGCATATACAGAATGAGGCTGGAGAAGCGAAGTACTTGAAAATGATATATTCATATTGGATGATGAATGCCTGAATCATAACTTCATCATTTTCTTTTAAACCCCACCAGCTTACATCATTAAAGTCCACAAAGGAGAGAAATGGATAGGAAACAGGAAACAATTTAACAGAGGAAGTAAGATTTTTGTTCAGTGATCCAAGTGTATGGAGTAAAAACAACCAAAGTTCTGCACAGAATAAGAGGGGCACAATAGGACAAGCCATGGTGGAGGTGCTGCTGTTAGTGGCTCATCATTGAAATGAATACCATAAGATGTCAAACTTTTGAAAATGGTATCCACTAATACAAAATACCCTATTACCATGCTATCTCTCTTTTGGCTATTATGGTAAGCTGATTCAAACAATCAAGCTTAACAGTTCATATCTATATACTGTTCAATCAGGCAGAAATCTCAGAGAAAGGTATTTGAATCTCTCTCTTTCTCTCTCTCTCGTTAATGCATTAGAATTTGTTGCATAACTTTGGTGTTATAAACTGAATCATCTTAGACGGCACTCTTCTCAACCATTAGAAATTGTCTTGAACAAGGGTGATGTAACGGCCCAAGCCAATCACTAGCAGATATTGTCTTCTTTGGACTTTCTCCCTTTCGAGCTTCTTCTCAAGGTTTTTAAAACGTGTATGCTTCCCCTCCTCAACCGATGTAGAATCTCACCGGTGACGTTTCAGGTGGTGGCTTTAACATTGATAATTGCTGTTGCATGTCCTGTGCCGCGGAGGTACACCATTAAACTCTCTGTACTTTACTGTCATCTAAAAAGTCATCTGCTGTGAAATTTTCTTTCCCTTTGTCTGAATCTGCATACTTCGAACAATTTGTGGGATTTGGATTGGGAAATCCTTTCTCAACCTATTCAGCCACTTTCTAAAAATGGAGGCTTTTTCCTTGCTGCTGCTATGTGGAGTGTGAGGCCGATCAGATCCTAAGGCAAAATAAATCTGATTAAATGGATAAGGACCCGACATTATGATCATACTTGTTGACATATAGGTATCCTAGTGCATTATTTATTGCCTGCAAATTTTATACTTGTTCTGTATATTTACTTTGGGAATACTTTTTTTTTCTCTCTCTCTATTGAGACGGGAATTAAAAAAAATTACCTTCTAGAAGATAATGCATAAACTACGTTTAGATTTTCCAAACACTTAATGTTTTTGTGAGGTTCATCGTATTCCATAGTTTCTGACGTTGGTAACGACACTATTGAGTGCCCCGGTTCATGGTATTCCATAGTTCCTTCCATTGGTAACGACACTATTGAGTGCCCCAGTTCATGGCATTCCATAGTTATTTCCATTGGCAATGACACTATTGAGTGCCTCTAATCAAGGTCGTAGATCAAGTTCTGACCTAAGATTACCTCCTTGATCCATTTGGCTACATCCGCCCCTATCCCGCACAAAGCTTCAACCGCTTGAAAAAAATTTATATTAGGTTATGGAGCTTATTGGGTAAACAATGTTGTTGCCTCAAGAAAATATGTTTTTTTTCTTTTTAATCAATTCTGAATGCACTTTTCTTAATATGTTTGAAACTACATTTTTCTAACAAATTCAAATCTACAAAATGTTACCAAAAAATATTTAAAAAAAGTTCTCAAATTATTATTTTTTTTAAAAGTAATTTAATGTGTCGTAAGTGTCTTGAGGAATATTAATATTAAGATATGAAGACATCCGCAAGTTGGTGTTGATGAGGAGCATTTTTAATTGGAACCAATTTTAGATAAAATTATAATATACTTAATCGAAATTATTTCTTAATTAAAGATAATAATTTAGTTCTTTTAACTGTTCTGAGTATTTATTCATTTTTTTCATACAATTTTGGTAGCCAAACATTACGGAAAAAGAAAAGTAATTTAAGTTGCTTTAAAATATTTTTTTAAGACTAAATTAATTAAAAATACCCTTAAATTTTCCCTTTTCAAAATAATTCTAAAACTTTGAAAATTCTAAAATTTTAAAGTTTGATTAAACCCTTAAACTTTTTTTAAAAAAAAAAAACTTCAAAAATAGTAAGTTTTTAATGAAAATGGTTCATTATAATATTTAAGATATTTTCATAGCTTTTGGCTTTGCAAAAGACCTCATAACAACGAAGAGAATATTCTTTAATTTTAAACCCATGATCATTCTTTAAATTAGTAGATGTGGGACTTTCATCATCCAACACCTCCCCTTAATCAAGGCTCGACTCCTTTGGAGTCTTAGTCATTTTTTAATGCCTTGGGGAGGCTCAACTTCTTTTCTTTTGAAATATTATTGACATTTTAGAATTGTTCAAATTTTAGATGTATTTTTGAAATATTATTTTTTTTAGTTAAAATATTATTCAGAATTTTGAAAGCTTAAACAAATTTTTTACCGCCGTTAAATTAAAGATGACGCATTATGTCCAGGGATATGTAGTTTACCGTTAAATAGCGGACTGAATCGCGCCAAACAACACCCTCCAGATATTTCCCGCTTGGCTATTCCACAGACATATCTTCTTCCTTATCCTCCAATCGAAATGTTAATTCCATAATCCGCCATTGCAGCTTATCTTCATCCTTCACTTCCATGCTTTTGTTCTGCGGATTGCAGAACCATGGCGTCTTCCCCCACTCCCATCTCTCCACTATCTTTTCCCAATCGGAGATCAAAACCAAAACCAAACAAACCGCCTCCATCATTGCCTCCGGCGTGGAAACCCAGCCCCAAATCTATGCCCAAGGAGATTTACTTTAACCGCGATGGCTCTGCCTTGAAAAAGCTTCAGGTTACGCACTCGGACGAGGCCCTAGTTTATCTTTCCTCGACAACTGATTTGTTTGATTTTGTTGCGCAGGTCGGTGTTGATTTGGTGGCGGAGTTGGTCGGTGTTACGTTAGGGCCGAAGGGGAGGAATGTGGTGCTTCAAAGCAAATATGGTCCGCCTAAGATCGTCAACGACGGGGAAACTGTCCTCAAAGAGGTATTGTGGTATTCTTTTCGTATTTTGGTTAAGGTTTTTCGCATTTGCTATTACGGCATCTGTAAATGAAATACTCGATCGATTGCGGAATAATTCCATCTAATCCAGGTCTATTGCTAAAAATTAGAAAGTTATGTGGTTAGGAAACATAATTAGATAAATTATTTTGATACCATATTATATTGCAGTCGACAAAGAATTTCAGTAAAGCTATAATGTTCCTTATAAATTGAAATTGTTTGTGATAATAAGTTTCTTTATCATATTACTTTTGGATAGAGATAAAAGAACAAGAAATTCGTTCCAAAATCATCTTGTATAAGATCTACCACGGGAGATTGGTAACTGCTGCAATTTCTCTGTAATTTACTAGTTCGTTTGTGAATTTGCATCCATTTTTCTTGCCTTACTTTTGGAATTCAATTCGCAGCAACATTGTGTCCTATTTTATTAACTACAATCCCACCCTGCAATTTTATGCATTTTCTAGTTGCATACATAGCTATTATGAAGACTTGATTCGGCATGTCTTGGCTTATAAATAATGACACAAGTACTTAATCAATGTCGTCTATCTTTTTGATATTTGATAATTATCTGGTTGGAAAATGTTCTTTAGATTGAATTGGAAGACCGTTTAGAGAACGTTGGGGTGAAATTGGTAAGACAAGCTGGTGCAAAGACAAATGACCTTGCTGGTGATGGTTCCACTACATCTGTCGTTCTTGCCCAGGGATTAATTGCTGAGGGTATGAAGGTAGCCAAGGAGTCCCATGAATGAATATCAACCATTTAGAACAACTGCTGTTATGTGGACCATGGAATACCATGTCCACCTAAGATTTTAACTTTTAAGAAACTTTTCATTAACTTTTGATTAAGAAACTTTTCATCAACTTTTCATTAACTTCTGTATTATGAAAGGATAACAAAATATTAATACTTTTTTTTTTCCCTGGCCAATTTGAAGTACTGATCATAGAATGCACTTAATAGGTTATTTCATCTGGCATGAGTCCTGTTCAAATTGCACGTGGAATTGAGAAGACTGCAAATGCACTAGTTTCTGAGCTGGAATTGATGTCAAGAGAGGTAAGCATGGTTATAGTGAATGAAAGGAAAAGAATATCAATAGCCGCAAGTGGTAGTCTAATAACTCTTTGTCTGTGATTTTTTCAACTGCTACATATTTCAAATTTGCAGGTTGAAGATCATGAGATAGCACATGTTGCTGCAGTTAGTGCAGGGAATGATTACGCTGTGGGAAATATGATTTCAGATGCCTTACGTCAAGTTGGTAGGAAAGGAGTCGTCCAAATTGAAAAAGGGAAGAGTATCGATAACAGTCTGCAAATTGTTGAAGGGATGCAATTTGATTCTGGATATTTGTCTCCGTACTTTGTTACTGATAGACAGAAGATGATAGTAGAATTTCATGATTGCAAGGTAGCAACAAGACTATAAGTAATATATTTTCTTTTTATAAACGAGTAATCCTTGGAAATGGGGATTTTTGGTTGCAGTTACTGTTGGTCGACAAAAAAATCTCAGATCCAAAGGAGATGTTTAAAATATTGGACAGTGCAGTGAAAGAGAAGTATCCAATTGTGATCTTGGCAGAGGGGTTTGAGCAGGCAGCTTTGGCTCCAGTAATTAGGAATAAACTTAGAGGTGTGCTGAAGGCAGCTGCTATCAAGGCTCCTGCCTTTGGCGAGCGCAAGAGTCACTACTTAGATGACATAGCGACCCTAACTGGAGGTAGCAGATTATTCGAAAAAGAGTTTTGAGTCCTTGTTGTGCTTTGCCCGTCTTTCTTAAACTTCTGAAACCATTTATATACAAAAAAAAAAAAAATGGAAAGAGAAAACCCCCCCTCCCCCAAAGGAAAAAATTAAGGAAAAGGGCACTATATTCATGGAGTGCAACCAATTTCTGCATCCATGGAGTGGTGCAGTATATTCTAAATTCAATGAGATTTCGGCATAAACATATATCAGAGATCAAGAGAATTCAGTGAAGGACATTTCACCATAATGACGGTGAAATACATGAATTTACAAGGATGCTGTATCTAATGAAGTATACCATTGAGATTCAATACATGAATTTTATCTTATATACGTGATAATAATGAAAAGAAAAGGAATTTTACTTGTAGTTTTCTTTTAGTTCTCAGAAGATTTTACTATGAAGTGTAGTCCAAAGTGCCTGACTCTTTTGTATGTTTGTAGCAACTGTGATCAGAGAAGATAGTGGACTGACTTTAGAAAAGACTGGCAAAGAGGTATTGGGCTCTGCTACTAAGGTTGTTATAACGAAGGATTCCACACTAATAGTTACAGATGGGACTACTCGGGAAGCAGTTCAAAAAAGGGTTTTACAAATTCAAAAGCTTTTGGAGGTGCTGGAATCATCCCTTATCTATGCTGAGATATCCTACATTTCGAGGTTTTCTGCATTGCAGGATCCATTTCTAAGTAATATAAAAGAACGCAAATTTTCATGCGGAAGTATATTGCTTTGACGTTTAGTTGAATTACACCAAGAGACATACTATCATCTATTCTGCAGAATACTGAGGAAAAATTTCCAAAGAAGATATTGAATGAGAGAATTGCTAGACTATCTGGGCGAATTGCGATACTTCAGGCATATTCTAAGAACTCAAAATATTGCCTATATAAACATAGGAAAATAGCAACTTACGCCACCTTGTTTTATTGTAGGTAGGAGCACAAACTCAAGTTGAATTGAAGGATAAACAGTTAAGGATTGAGGATGCCTTGAATGCGTCAAAGGTGCTTGGTTGGTTTGTTTTCCTTGTGATATGAGTTCCTATCATCAGTGATAACCTTATGTTTATTGTAGGCTGCAATTGAAGAAGGTGTTGTCGTTGGTGGTGGTTGTTGTCTTTTAAGGCTGTCAACCAAGGTGGATGCTATAAAGAATGTCCTGGAAAATGAAGAGCAGATGGTATCCCTCTTGGCTTACTTCAAAATTTTCTGTTCTAATCTCTTAATATTATATAAAGTTGTTTGCTTGAATATGATGACTGCACAGTTAGACTTAGTTTTGATCAGCATTATCAACTAGAATATTACCTGAATTATTATGATGGGTTCTCTAAATTGTTCATATTGATTTCACTGGTCAATTACAGATTGGTGCCGAAATTTTCAAAAGGGCTTTGAGTTATCCTACAAAACTAATTGCGAGAAACGCCGGTGTTAATGGAAGTGTGGTTATAGATAAGGTTGCTGTGAACAGAGTGATTTGCTTCTAATTTGCGTTGTATAATTTTCTCATTTTCACATATCGAGTCTAATCAATCATGGAAAAATAATTTTCTACCTCGCAGGTTCTAATTAACAATGATATGAATTATGGATATAATGCCGCCACAGACCATTACGAGGATTTAATGAAAGCTGGAATCATGGATCCATCGAAGGTTTATGAACTTTCTTTCGAGCTCTTGAACTTTTGAAGAATTTGATCGAAACATTCAGCAGAGTAACATCCATTTTTTTCATGAAATATGAAATTTTCTGTTTAAAGGAACTTGAATGGTTTTTCATCGACCAACAACTTGATACATGGATTGTTGCATGTTGAGGATTGTTGGGTGGGAATCCCACGTTAGTTAATTTAAGGAATGATCCTTTGTTTATAAGTAAGGAATACATCTTTATTGGTATGAGGCCTTTTGGGGAAGCCCAAAACAAAGCCAAAGAGCTTATACTCAAAGTGGATAATATCATACAATTGTGCACTAAATTTTAGTTCTCCACTGATATCTGGGGCAGGTCGTCAGATGTTGCTTGGAGCATGCAGCTTCTGTTGCCAAAACTTTTCTGACATCCGATGCTGTTGTAGTTGATATGAAGGAACCAGAACCCTTTCCAAGAAGAACGACGTTGCCCAACTCAGGTATTGGACGAACAAACTATATGGCCCTTCATTTCTCTGACATCCATTCCTTTGGTTAACAATAATGCCTTTGATGTTGTAGGCATCAAACGAATGGCTCTTTAGCTTGACGGTCAAGATCAGAGTATATGGGGGAATTCTACGATGGCTGTTTTCAAATACAGACAAATGGGTCTCGAGCCACCATTAAGAGTAAAGTTCTTGCCCAATTTGTAGCAATGATTTGATTGATACAAGGCAGGTTGAGCAGCAAGTGAAGGACAAGCAGGCCAAGAACTTGTCGAGGTAATGCTCTCTTCACTAACAATCTTACGATTACAGTAGAAAATCCTCAAGTCGATTAAACTTATTGGTAGCTCATAATGTCCTGTGATGAATTTTGATTGCAACTGTGACGAAGGGCAAAATCTTAAGACTCCTTTTGTCTTTAAGAAGTGTCTGCTAGTTAAAGACTCTGTCAAACTGATGCTGTAATCTAACATGCAATTGGATGACGAATTTATAAATAGAACTTGAATTCGAATGTTAGATGTGGTTTGGAAATGGCTGTCCTCAATGCATAGCAGGGAGAAAAGGCTGCAGTTTGTTAAACATACTCCGGCATCAGTTTACTAAGAAAACAATACCTAAGCGTAAGCTTGGCTTTTAGATAAACTTGTTAAACATACTCGAGCATCAAATTAGTGGAAGAAAGCTAATTGTGTCTTAGGCTTGCTAGGCGTAAGCTCGAGTCTAGCTTTTTAGACTGACTTGTTAAACGTACTCTAACATCAGTTAGGGGAAGAAAACAAGCGATTGGACTTGTTAAACGTACTACAGCATCAGTTAGAGGGAGAAAATAAGTAGTGTCTGGTATGTTAGGCGTAAGTTTAGGTCCTGTTTTTTAAATCAAACTTTTTAAACGTCCTCCAACATCAGTCAGAGGAAGAAAACGAATAGTGTCTTAGATTTGCTGGGCTTAAGCTTGAGTCAGAGTTGTTTATGTCAGGTCAAGTTAGACGGACCCTTATGAAGATTAAACATATCCACATTATCTTTTTCCCCCAACGTTATAAGTAAGAAAAACATGGAGGTTTAGATTTTTGGCCTTATGTATAATGCTTTTACATCTACCTTAACAAGTAAAAAACTCTATTTACCAATCTTGCTCTATTAAGACAATCATATAGATATTTTTCTAACAAAATGTTTAAAATATACCAATATAGCATTTTTTTTTTCTCTTAGCTCTGTTCAAAGGATCTTCGTCAAAGAAGCGACGGTAACCACATTTTTCTTACTTCAATCGACACGACTTTATGCTCATATTATTAGCATAAAGTCGAGAAAATGTGTAAAAGTATATGAATTGATTTGGACAGATAACAAATGAATTGTGTAAAAGAGTTAAGAAGATGAGGAGAGTTTGGCATACCCTTTTTGGTGTTAATATACATATGGTTCATGGTCTACTCATTTTTGTAACATTTGTGGATAAGATTGTGACATTTGTGAGAGAAAAAGCTACATGACTCCAAATTCAATGAAAGAAAAACTAGCTCTTTGTGAACATGGATATCTCACACTCTATCCTATATGACTCTTTTTGTAGAAAATATTGGGTTATTTACATGATTGGATCACTCGAGTAATCCTGATTATTCAACTTAAACGGTAAGGATTGGTTGGGTTAGTTTTTTTTTAGTTTGAGTTGGGTTGATATTTTTGAAAATCTAAAGATTCAGTTCAATGTGCAAGTTTGAGCTTTTTGGGTTGCTTCATCCCACCACCACGAAAATAGGGTATACAATCCAATCCAATCCAACCTAACCCGACTCAACCATATTCTAACTTTAAGATTATTATAAAAATTAAGAATGTTTGACATTATAAATGGTATCAGGGTTAATCGTCAGATAGGAGGCACTAGTCGAAATAGGACTAAACCATCTTCTTAGCATACATGTTTTAAAAGTGTGAGGCTGACGGCGGTACATAATAGGCCAAAACGGATAATATTTGCTAACGGTAGATTTGAGCTATTACAAATGATATCAAAGTCAAACACCAGGTGGTGTGAAGCAGACAATATTTGCTAATGGTGGGTTTGAGCTATTACAAATGGTATTAGAGCTAGATATCGAGTGGTGTATCAGTAAGGACGCAAGGCCCATAATGAGGGTAGATTGTGAGATCACATATCGATTGGAGAGGGGAACGAGTGATGTTATTTCTTTTAGCAAGTAAACTTTTAAACAATCTAACCTAATTTTTATTAAACTTTTCTTATCTAACCTAATGCTTTGTTGAAAAAAAAAAAAGAAAAAAAAAACAATCAAAATTTGTTTGGGGACATAGCACATTAACTTCGAAAGCAACAAGTAAATGTGAACATCATGATGTGAATTGTATGAGAAAGAAATTGATTAAAGTTGAAGTACATAGAGAAAGATCCCACTTTTATGCTTAAAAAAAAGTTTGAGAATTGAGGGATTGTAAGTCTTTGAAAGCAACCCTTCAACAACCACTCATTATGTTACACAAATTTAATCTTCAAAATTTTAAGTTATTAGCGTTATCACATATTGTCTGTTATGTAACACCGTTAGTCTCACGATTTCAAAACGTGTTTATTAGGGAAAGGTTTCCCACTCTTATAAGGAATGTTTCATTCCCCTCCCCAACCGATGTGGGATCTCACAATCCAATTCCCTTGGAGTCTCAATGTCCTTATTGCTACACCGCCTAGTGTCTGGCTCTGATACCCTTTGTAACAGTTCAAGCTCATAGCTACAGATATTGCTGTCAGCCTCATGATTTTAAACTGCGTCTACTAAGGAGAAATTTCCACATCTTACAAGGAATGCTTCATTCCCCTCTTCAACCGATGTGGGATCTCACAATCCAGTCCCCTTGGAGTCTCAACGTCTTTACTGATACACCACCTTGTGTCTGACTCTGATACCCTTTGTAACAGTTCAAGCTCACAACTAGCAGATATTGCTCGTTTTAGCCTGTTCTGTATCGTCGTCGGCCTCACGATTTTAAAAAGCGTCTACTAAGAAGAGATTTTCACATCCTTACAAGAAATGCTTCATTCTCTCTCCAACCGATGTGGGATCTCTCAAGATTCTCTTCTGGGTAATCTCTAAAAGGAAAGAAAAATCGGGATGCCAACAAGCATCCATTATTGAATTCACCCGATCATATAGTACTCCATTTTCAAAACGCCCAAATTTAAAATAGATTTGAAAATTCATAATATTTTAAACAACCTCATTTAATTCAAATCACTTTAAAATATTATGTGGAGTGAATTTATAAGTGCATTATTATTGGAGGAAAAAAAACAATATTGAACTATCCATAATAATTGAAATTATGAATTAATTAATTAAAAGTAAACGTGAACAGTCAAAGTCAGATGAGCTGTCAGACGTTAAGCAATATTATTGTCCACTTAGTAATTAATTAATTAATTATAAAATATGAATATTCGATTATCTTTTGAACTATGTGAAAATAATTAGTACGATCCTAGATTCGTAATTATTTGCATATCTCAAACGTGCCTTCTTTAACCTATTTAATAATAATTACTATTATTATTATTATTTACAAGTTATGTAATAATATATATATTAAAATTTTGTTTATTAAGTTCATTATTTTTTAAAATATATATAATTTTCTTTGAATTTTTAATTTTAATACATTTTAAAGTTTTTAATTTTGTATCTAATAAATTTATAAACTTTAAAAAATATTTAGGGAACGTGACACTCGAAAAACAATTTTAAAGATAAAAATAATTAAAAAAAGTTTAAAATTTTATTAAATAAATAAAAAATGAATAAATTTATAATTTAATTAAAGATGACATGGAATGAAATAAAAATAGATTAAATTCCTTAATCATAATGTGTGTCGTTTACACAAATGACAACAATGAATAGAGCTCTTTTTTTTTCCTCCACTTTTCCCCATATTTTTGAAGCTATGATCATATTTATTTTCTCGTCTTATTCGATCGATATTAAAATAATATTCTAGCTCTTGATATCTAGTTTGTTATATTACATCTCGATGCGTTTCAAAAAGAGTCACCTATCGTTCTTAAAACTTAGCTGGTTTGAATTAATCAAGGTTGTATCGATCTCTCGAATTTGAATCGAATCATTAATGATTACTGATGCTTATAATCAAATAATACTATCTCCATTGGTGTGAGAACTTTGGGGAAGCGGAAAGCAAAGCCATGAGAGCTTGTGCTCAAAGTGAATAGAATCATACCATGGTAAAGAATCGTGTTCATTGAATTTTTATTTAATTATTTATTTTTTATTATTATATGAAATTTTGTAAAAAAAAAAAAATTGTATTATTGAAAGCAGAGGAGTTTTGTGTGTTTCTTCAAGTCCCAATGCCAACCAAATGATACAGACAGCCAAAAAAGACAAAGAGGGGAAGGGTTGGAGACAGTCCATTAAAGGCATAAAGCTGTAAAACATTTTCCTGCAAAATTAATCAAATTAATATTAAAAATAAATAAATAACAAAAATTTCCAACTATTTTTTTTTTCCATAATAAATTAAACATAAATTCAAACACGACCGACATTACACTAACTTGATAAAAACGCTCAACGTTCTAAACCCAACCAAGTCTCGTTCGGCTTGACCTCGAAAATCTTAACCAAACGAGGCATAAAGGCTTGATGATGCGTGTTCGAAAAGTTTTTAGTATTATTGATGAACCAGAAGAGGAAAATACTTGGATCGACTCGATTATGAGTTACCTTACGTATTGAACGATTCAGTACATAGTTAGAAATAAACAATTATTCAAAAAAAAGTTACTTGTTACCGTTCATGAAATGTCTCACATTCCGAAAGAGGTCAAATATGTCATCAGAGAGATTCACGACGGTAACATATTAAAATATGAAAAAATAAGTATTAAATTTTTTTAATGTATAAATATTATAATGAATTAAAATAATAATCAAATTAATAAAAAAAAAATAAAGACCATTTATTATTATTAGTATTATTATTATATAAATCTAGACACACCGCCGATTACTGCACTGCTGGCACTTTCTTCCACGCCAATTTACAATTCATGAGTCAACTCCTCTAACAATGCGTCGTTTTTCTGATGCGTTCCTGACCGTCCGATTTGTTTACCTTTTTCCCTTCCATTCCACTCCTTTGACCCCCTTTTGAAAATTTTAAGGTTTTTCTTTTTACAATTTAAGAATATTATAATTATTTTCAATATAATATAAGCTAATTTATCACATTTTTATTTTAACCAATCAATCAATTTTCTTAATTACTTGAATATTAAAAATAATGAACGAAAAATGGAATTTTGGTTAATTAGAAAAAAGATTACAACAATTTTATTATCCGACAAAAAAAATATTTATAATGGAATAATAACAATTAAGGAATAATTGTTGTGTATTAAAGCTTATCTTATAAATTATATAATATCATATTTATAAAACATTTCAAATTATAATAGGTGTTTTATTACCTTTAAATAATATTTATGTCGTATATCAATAGTCAAATAATGCATAACTACATGGGCACTATTTTCGAGGACGCACACATATAAAAATCATATTAATTGTATAACAAATTTATGATTAGGTCGAGTTCATGGTCAAATAGAAAAAATCATCGAATTTATTAATATTTTAACAACATTTGAGATAAGGGATTCAAATTTTAACATCTTGCTCGTTGGTACGTGTTGACTACTATTTAGCTATACTCATTTCGACGTTGTGATCTTTTGTCTTTCAAGAAATAAGCTCCCTTTTTGTTTAGTTCGATTATCGATTTTTTTAGTGTAACTCCCTTCATTTTCTTAACCTAATTAGTTACGTCACTCCATTGGATGTTATTGTGAGATCTCACATATATTGGAGAGAAGAGCACACTATAATTTAGTACTAAATATCTTTAACATGAACGAGCGGCAACGAGGACACTGGATCTTGAAAGTGGGTGATCCTAAAACATTAATTAACTTAAAATTAATAAATAAAAATGATTACAATTTTTTTTTTCATTTTAAAATTATGAAATGAAATCTATAATAATTTAATTATTTTTTGGTATTTTTTGAGGATGCATGAGTTTCAGGCTGAACTCGTGGCCACGTGGCGAAACTCAATTTTTTTGTGTCAACTGTTATTTTATGCTTCATTAAATCACCAAGAAAATCCAACAATATCGGCATATCCTTAATGCAATTCCTTTATTTTCAACAAATAAGTCGGTATAATTAAAATCTCAAATATTTTGGCCCAAAATTTTAATTAAATTTATTTAAAATTTTTATTTATTAAGATATTATTCTTATTTTAACCCTTCAAAAATCATTCTATTTTTATTTATTAAAATTAATCTTTTATATTATTAACAAATTTATTTTTTATTAAATCTCGTGAAT